CCTTGCTTCTTGTCTGCTTGTGATAATGCAATCGGCCCAGGCTCCTCCGCTCTCAGGCCTGTCAGACTCAGCCGATCAGCAGTTTGCACAGTCCAATGAGCACCAGTAGATTTGCCCTGTTGGTGGACTCCTCCTTGGCAACCAGGCCGACCCCCTCTGACCTCTGGCCTAGGCTGTGGCCTTTGGTGGAGAAGAAAAATAAATGGTTCCTGTCTAAATTCAGCATTAGAATCTGGAGGAGACTGGGGCGGGCACTATATCCTCAAAAGGAAACGCACATCTTTAGGTTTTGTTGAATGACAAAGATCATCAGCCAATGGCGGGACAAGTTTAGAGCGTGATGGATTGTGTAATGGGACATGGGACATTTGATTGATGTCTAAATGAGGAGCATAATAGCTTGTGTGATGGATAGGTAGGAAGTGAACACTTAGATTTTCACACAGGAGCGGATGTTAGCTGTTTGGTTTCGTGACAGAGGATGATGGATCGACGCCCGAGAGAGGAGGACTTGGTAAACGAGGGAATAAATTGATCACAATGCTGTTTTGTTTTTAGATAATTATTTTGTTGGATGGCTTGACGCATAAACACAGTTTAAAGTAATGGGCCATCTTGATCCATTTAAAACATGTTAAAATTAAACAAATGTTGCGCTGTTAATTTAAATGAGTCAGATACCCATTAGATTAAATTATTAGATTACTTACTTAGATTCAATTAGATTGAATTACAGTATATGCTGTATAATGAAATAATAGTGACATTTCTGTCTTGAAATAATTGTCTAGGAGGTCTTTGCCAAAAATAACAACGACATTAATAATAGCTGTCAAATATTTTGAGCGTGCTTCTTCAAAATTGTGCGCACATGATATAATGGAAACCCAACCCAACAACCGCACCGCTTAATTCAGGATAGCATCACAGGAATTTAAGGCCTGTCACACACAGACTGCAAACATACCACAGCTCAGCACCTCAAAGTGTAAAACACAGACTAAATCTGTATTACTTTTGCAAAGCTTAATAATCACTTTAATTTCTCTCTGGAGGGTGCTTAAAAATAATATTGTCAGTTCAATTACAGATTCAGATGTCACAGGGTTTCATTAAAATCATTAGTGGATGTCAAACCAGCGTGCTGAGTGCTGAGTTACGGCAACAGTTATCAAGTGGACAAGTGTTGGCAACAGCTGAAAAGTCAGCTGGGAAAAGAATGGCTGAGCCCAGGGAAAGTAGAGCTGTAGGGGTCACACACACACACACACACACACACACACACACACACACACACACACACACACACACACACACACACACACACACACACACACACACACGCACGCACGCACGCACGCACACATACACACACACACACACACACACACACACACACACACACACACACACACACACACACACACAAACACACACAGTGGCATGCATGTGCGTGTTGCTGTTTCATGTAATAGTTTGGCACAGGTGACAGTCAGTGACCCCTAATCAGAGTTCAGGACCCTGTTGTGTAGTCTGGGACCTCTCTGAGCTCCATAAAGTTCAGAGGGCAACCTGATTGATTGGCATTAAGGGATGTAATCCACATCTGCAAAGTACAAAAGAAAACCTTGGTCAAATTACAATTTAGCTGTTGAGCTCACGAGAATAAAAACTACAGGACAGCGAGAGAATACAAACAGGCCATAAATGAGACCACAAACATGAGGAATCAGTTAAACAAGAAGAATATTTATATCATCCCTTTTTACTGCTTGCAGAGTGTTTGATCTCCCCTCGAGCATCGCCTTGAGAAAGAGCCGTGTGCTCATGTTGCAACACAGACGGGTCCAGTTTACCCACTTGCAGGCTGAGGAGACAAGCGCTCGCTGGTGTGACATAATGTGCACATTTTGGGGGATTATCACCGCTTTACTGTGGAATGCATAACATGTCTGAGTGGGGAAATCAGACACAGAGTAGCAACGAGGGCACAGGAGCCTCACAAAGTGCTGAGTGACTGACAGTTATAAAAACAAATGTAAAATGTAAAGCTGCTGAAAGAAATTTAAATATATGCTGCCACTTTATTTCAACAACATATTCACATTTTTCTATCAGATATGTGTGTACAAATCAGATTTGTTATTGTGTGTGGTCATTAAAACGGCATTTTGGATATGGTGTTTAAAGGGGGTCTTTTTTTATGTTACACCTAAATGTCAGTTTATTAGTTAGAAATTGTACTACTAGTCTGTTGAGAAGGTTGTATCATGTCTCCTGTGGCTTGGGAGGGCTTTTGCCATACATGAAGAAATAAACCTGATGATTTCACAAGGGTGTTTTTGTTTTGGGCATGGAGACTGCACATTTTTAGCTGCAAGCGGCATCTCTATTATTAGTTTGCTCTATCAGCTGCTACGTACATAAACAAAACTTTCCCTTCGGCTGCTGTGTACAGAAACAAAACTTTCCCTGGCTTTAAATGCACATTAAGTGTTTGTGAGTCTGTGTGTTTGTGAATGCTTGAACGTGTGGATGCAGGTATTTACATTGCAACTATTGTAACTATTATGAATTTGTGCTAAATCGCTGTAAGGGCCTGTAGTTTGACACACAAATGCATTTAGTGGTCGAAGAGGGTCTATGAAAGATGCTGACAAAATTGCATTATGAGAACAGTAAAATCCATCGTTTTTTGGGAGTTTGACCCAAGATATCTCAACACCTGCTGCTTTGACTTTAAGCACTATTTATTGTTTTAAGCTGTTTCTCACAAGTCTCCCAACCTAAATGACTGTGTGGGTTTAACTGATAGTGCTGCTGATAAAAGATGTAACCTCTCAGGCCTTGCTTGTTGAGTTACACAACATGTATTAACATAATTTAAACCTTGGGACCTTTGTTGCATGTCACAACCCTCTCTCTCTCCCATTTCAACACCATCATCTTCCAAATAAAAAATCTGTGAACACCTTCAAACACACCCTTTAGTGTTAGTACTGTCTAGTGTTTGAATGTGTCACATTTTCCACTCTGAAAAAACAGACAAATCCAAACTGCTTAGAAAAACAATGTCCAAAGTAAATGCTATATCAAAAAAGAGTTGACAGTAATACAATAGTTGAACATACCATTTAGACTGGAAACACAAGGTTTACTCATGTCTCTTAGTAAGACAGACACTGCCCCCTGCAGGACAACAGTCTTCAGCCACTGCTGTGTGTGTTCAATCCTGACACATTGACAGTGTTTAAACCAGAGTACATCTCTGTACTTATCACTATTCTGTCTTCAACAATAGACACAGTTATGTACAGTATTAGACCAAATCCAAACCCATAATAACAGTGTCATAAGAGCACAGAAAGTAGGCTTTATGTTTAAATACCGGAGAGGCCGCTCAGATTTCCAGACGTGGTGAAATGTATATTTATACTGCAGTCAAAACAAAGCCTGAACATGTCTGTATAACACTGTATAAAATAATGGCTGGAGCTATGATCATTAATACTGCTGACCTGCCATCCACACACTGATGGCTGGTTTGAGTATGTCACAGAAAAGGTGTATGTATTCAACATAACCAAGCCAGGCCTACCTGCAGACATGAGTACATACACAAAGAGATGAGTGCTGATGCCCTGCTGATGCAGAAAACTGACAACCACAAGTCACTGTCCCAAACACAACAGAGACCCCAGGAGGGAAGGAAACCTTACTCTGCTCTCTGCTGAGAGTGATTTGGTAGAGTGTATACTTAAAAACTCATCAGTGTATCCACAAGGGTTTGCTTTTCAGGGGTATTTCATGCTATATATAAAAAGAAAACATAGTCCATCAGATCAAGTTCAGTTTATAACTCTTGGGAAGAAATTCAGTAATAAAATAACAGATGTTGGCCTGCGAGGGGTCCATAGTTCATTTATAATGGGCTTGCGAACATAGACAACCTTTAACTCATTTTACTGATCACAAAAAACAAGAAAGTTGGACCATATTTTCAGGTTTTACGTTGAGGAAACACTTTATTATCTTTCACAAAAGTTCTTACAGTATTTTCTTTCAGAAGGTGGGGTGTCCTACTTCTCCAATGTGGTAATGCACTTCTGCATTGATTTGGAGTCATTATATCACAGGAAAGGGAAGCCATTTTAAACATCTATGCAAATCAATGAAACACCAAATTCCTTTTATTAAAGAATAATAATTCAAATGGACACTACAATTATTCATTGATTCAGGGTCATTCGATTACATGAGATCAAAACATAGCAATATTCATAAAATAGAAAAAGCACTACAACCATAAAGAGTTGTGTCCTGCTTGTCCAATGCAGTTATGAAGTTATGCCTGCATTCAAAAATCATTAGGTCACATGAGATAAAAGTAACAAATATGCAGTTTTTGTTTTATAAACAAAACGTAGCTATTTAAAATAAATTAGCATTTTTGGCACCAAAATGACACTTTTCATCAACATTTTTCATAGAAAATTGAAGGTACACAAATATCAAATAAAAGACTTGTGTCCCTTTTTATTCATCAAAACCCAGCACAGAAATAGGAATGAACAACACGCCAAGCATGTTAGCTGCTAGCTTGGGTTTCCACTACCATGGCAACCCACACATGAGCCCTTTTGCAGCTGCTCTTGCTTTTTGAGTTCAGACATGATATATCTTTTGTTGTTCACACCACTACTGTAGCTGGATAATCAATGTATTTAATCTCTGTATTCTGTAGGGTGATCATCATGGTTAATGAATGATATTGTTTATTTATAGTTAATGTTTTTTTTAACATTTCTTTGGAATGGTCAATGGGCTCTCGGCCAATCAGGGTGAGTGAAAGTTAAAGATTACACATGGGGAGATAAACTCCAAGCTGTGTAAAGATAGACAGGTAAGAACCAGTTCATTTGTTGTTTGGACCCAGCATATCGTCTAGCAAATATACTATTTAGACACATTTGAAACAGAGTTTAAGATATTTTAGACAAATGTCAGCCCTGCTAAGGTCCTGTGCTCACAGAATCAGATCTTTCGATGGACTCAAACACAAGGCTTGGGAATTATGCAGCACAAGTTTGCTCGAGCGATGCCGGTAAGTTTATACACTTCATGTTCACTGGTCAGATGGCAACAACATGTCACTCAGAAATGTATTGATGTTTGTATTCCTATAAGGGTTTATTGGAAATATAGAAGAAAGCACATGGCTTTTAAATCAAGTGACCACAGATCGTGCAGCTCCCTGGTGCTAAGGTTATAAAGTGTGTTATGTAGAGTCAGCAGTATTGGAATTTAAGTATTCCCTTAAAAAAAAAAAAAATCTGATGGGTGTACACTGAAGGCTTTTTCTGAATAAATGTTCTAGTATCGTTTCCTATGCTATTCCTGGCTGAACATCGTAATTACACATCATACTGGGAAGTTTGTACCATCCAAGTTGTTCTGTGCCATTAACACTGATATTGGGTCTACTCTTCTTGTCATGATTTATGTTTGCTTCTCTAATTCATTAGGCCTGCCAAAGGTTCACTTTTAAAACACTCTTATGTATTCTGTGATAGAGAAGGTACCAAACCTTTAACCCTATGGGACCCGTTTCAATCATTCATTAAACTGACCACTCTTCATGTGAAGTGATATCTTCAAATGTATTTGTAATATATTTAGGATAATCCCATTGAGATGAACCATTTCGTTTTCAAGGGGGTCCTAACATATAGTACAGACTGCAAGACAGTTAAAAAAACAAAAAACAACTAAAGCAAATTGACCAGGGTATTTAATATTATTTTCAATGCTTATCAATGAAATAACAGATTATTAAAAGAAATAAGAATTTCATCAATTTGTCTCCAAACAAATAAATGAAATTCTGAGACATACACAGCTGTATATATGATTACCCAAGAATGCCTCAAGACCCCCCAAAACGCTTTGGCTGGGAGTTGTGACCCTGATATTTTGAACTACTCAAATAGAGAAAAAGGAATCATCATCTTATTTCAAATCTGCAGTAAATGCTGATGTTCCAATCACATTGTAACTACTGTATTAAACCCATGCTCTTTTTGCTAAATCTTTGAAATGTGAGGTCCCTCCATGTGGACAGCCGTCCTCACACACCCGCACTGAGCAGCAGCTATGTGCACGGCACCTCCACCATCCCTCTGCTCCCCCTGACCGTGGGCCAGAGTCTGGACTCCACCGTTCAGCGCTGGCCCGACCGTGAAGCTGTGGTCTTCCTGCAGGACGGCATCCGGAAAACCTTTGCACAGTTTCAGCAAGATGTAGGTCTTCAGCTTCTGTTATCAAGAGCTTTCATGCATTTATTATGATATGTTAAGAGTCTCCTTTTTCAATAAAGAACACTTCGAGAACAACTTGTCAAATCATTACAAATGTTAACTTGTTATGTTAATAGGATACTTGTTAGACCTTTTGAATCCCAATGAAATGGTGGTTTGTCATTAACTCTACATGAAGCAACCCCCATTAAATGTAGTTTAATAATATGAATTGGTCTCCTCTTTGGGAGAACTCATCACCAAGCTTCTCTGAATCACAGGAATACTTGATTGCATCAGACAAATCTATCAAGCAGTCACAGTATTGAATGATTATCTGATTTATCTGTAACATTCTTTGGTGCAGGTTGACAAGGCGGCTGCAGGTCTGCTCGCTTTGGGCCTGCAGCGAGGCGACAGACTGGGAATTTGGGGACCCAACACGTACGAGTGGATCCTCTTCCAGTTTGCCTCAGCCAAAACTGGAATTATAATGGTCAGTTTCAGATTTACAATTGCATTTACAATGTAGCCTTGTGGTTAGAAAGACAGTCTGCTCATTGTTGTCAGACACCCTGCTGCCAAGTATGAGTGAGCAGGACATTGACCCTGGAAAGTTATTCTGTACCATCTGAATATCTACTAGGTCACTGTAACTTTTTAATTCATTTCTGTATGCAGTCATGTGTTTCAAATCAGGTGTATAATATCGTATGTACTATAAAGCCAATTTGAAATCTGTGTAGTGAGGGACTGTGCATACACTTGACTTTTAACCTTTTTTTTTATCAATGCAGGTTTCATTGAACCCGGCCTATCAGGTGAAGGAAGTGGAGTTTACTCTAACGAAGGTACAGTGAGTTGTGTTACAGAGTATTACTATTAGCTGTTATAATGTGCATATAGTAAAAGTACCTGTACACAGTTGGCAGGTACTTTTACTTGAGACTTTCTATTTTATGCTATTTTAAACTTCCACTCCAATCCAAAAGTACATTAGGTAGATACAGTATGTTATTATGAATATTATTGATGAAGATAAGACTTTATTGATCTTTATAGTGAAATTCACAAGCTACTTGGAAGTATATATAGTAAGAAAAGGAAGCCCCACCTTAACCTTCTGCAACACTTAAAAAAAAAAAAATCAAACACCAGATATGTGTCATTTGCAGGTCCAGTGTAAAGCTGTGCTCTGCCCTACCAGATTTAAAAGCCAACATTTCTGTGAGATGCTGAGGGAGCTCTGTCCAGAGATTGACTCGTCGTCAGCAGGAATGATCAAAAGCTCCAGGTTTGACAGAGTCAATGTCAGATATCAGATTTAATAAATGTTGTCTTCTTCTGTTACCATTATGGGAGTAACAGACATTAAATGCTTAAACATTTTCCATTGATTTAAATAAATATCCTGTCTTGGTTGTGCCAGGGTGCCAGAGCTGCGTATGGTGATTGTGACGGACAGCAGACAGCCGGGGATGCTCCACGTAGACGATGTGATGCAAGCAGGGGAGAGTCAGCACCACCAACAGCTGATGGAGCTGCAGAGAAAGCTGTCCTTCGATGATCCCATCAACATCCAGTTCACATCGGTAACCCTCAGTCACACTGTCACTCATGTATTTTATATATCTTGGACTGACACTATAAAGATCAGATCATGCTTCTTTGTTTCAGGGGACTACAGGGAGTCCAAAGGGAGTCAGTCTTTCACACCACAATATTGTAAACAATGCCTACTTTCTGGGACTCAGAATAGGTTTTAGAGAAAAAGTAAGTATATTGGTCTCTTCATCATTAAAAACACACAGACAGTAAAATGTAAGTAATTGTATTTTCATTTCCCCATCAGTCTCAGGTGCGAGTTTGTGTGCCCGTACCTATGTACCACTGCTTTGGCTCTGTGTTGGGAGGGATGGCTATGGCACTGCATGGCATCACACTGGTCTTCCCTTCCACTGCCTACAACAGCCGAGCCAACCTGGAGGCCATTCAGAGTGAAAGGTATGGCACCCTGCTCATCACGCAAATTAACTTTAAATATACAATATCTGACACTTAAGTTAATTTGTGTTTTTTTCACTCGAGGTGCAAATATGTGTACGGCACTCCCACAATGTTCACCGACATGCTAAGCCAACAGGATTTACACAAGTACGATTTGTCCTCACTTGAAGCTGGTAATAGATATAAAACACTAAAACATCTGTTGTATTGAACGTGGTGTAATTTTGAGCAAGCATTGAAGGCATCCTTTTCGTATGTGCTGCTGTGTTTAAGGCGTCATTGGTGGTTCTCCGTGCCCTCCTGAGATTGTGAGAAGACTGATAACAGAAATGAACATGAAAGACATAACGGTAACATATTCTGAATAATAATTGTGCCTATAAAACGTATTTATTATAACCATAAGCATATGCTTCTTCATCATATAACATCATCGGTTCATCATTTAACAGATAGGCTATGGAACCACTGAGAACAGCCCCATCACATTCCTTGGATTCCCACAAGACAATGAGGACCTGAAGATGAATACTGTTGGATGTATCATGAACCACACTGAGGTATGCCTCATTATTTGCCAGAAAAACCTTATTTATTCGTGCCATAACCCCTCTGTGACGTATGCCTGTGTGTCTTTACTATAGGCCAAAGTGATCGACCCTTGTACCGGGGAGATTGTCCCTCTGGGGGCCTCGGGGGAGCTGATGGTCAGAGGCAGCTGTGTGATGCAGGGATACTGGGACGACCCTCAGAGAACCAGTGAAGCTATCTCCCAGGACCGCTGGTACAGGACTGGGTAAGAGACTAGTATGTGCAATGTATACAGAAGATACAAAGGCATGTTACTTTAACAGGGTTTGATGTCAGATCATTTATGATGTTTTCCTTCTACACAGTGACACAGCCAGTCTAAACAGTTTGGGATACCTTCGCATTGAAGGACGTATGAAGGATTTGATCATCCGAGGAGGGGAGAACATCTATCCTGCTGAGATAGAGCAATTTCTCTATACACACTCGAAAGTAAAAGAGGTGCAGGTGAGACTCAAAACCACCAGGGGGCAGCAGAGGTCAGATACATTGTCTCAGCAGCTAAAAGCTAAGCATTGAAGCCATACTTGTTGTCTCTCTGAATGTTGGACATAATTAAACATAAATAACATAATAAATATATTACAGTGATCTGAGATGTTGTATTTCTCTGTCCAGGTGGTTGGAGTGAAAGATGAGAGGCTGGGTGAGCAGGTGTGTGCCTGCATCAAGCTGAAGGAGGGCCACACCTCCAGTGCAGAGGAGATTAGAGCGTTCTGCAAAGGCCAGGTGAGAGTGGGTGACGACAAAATGACTCAACATACTCAAAAAGAAATCAGCACAGCTTTACAGTTTGTGTTTTCTCCCACTAGATATCTCACTTCAAGATCCCGCACTATGTGATGTTTGTAGACAGCTACCCTCTGACAGCCTCTGGAAAGGTACAGTTCACCAACATCACTGAACTACCAAGATTTAAAATTGATAATGAGACTGAAACGCTTGCTATTTCATTTGTTTTCTAGATCAAAAAGAACATATTAAAGGAGGAAATGGAGAAGGAATTAGGCCTTTAATTGTGTGGCCCCTGGTGGACAGCTGAGGGAGTCAGACACTGAGCAGTGTTGAGTAAAGACTTTCTTTACCAACAGCTGGACTGGGACTATATCACTGATCAGCTGTTGGCTCGCTACTCCCTGAAATTCTTTTATTTGTACATCACACCTCATTACCTCTGCATGTTTAATGTTAATAATATACATCAGCTTCATGATATGTATGTCCCCAATGGGACAGGACATGGAGTTGGCAAGACCCCCGGCAGGAGAGTAGTCGGCGGGACCTCCAACGGCACAGGACATAGGTTTGGCAGGACCCCCGGCAGAAGAGTAGTCGGCGGGACCCCCAACGGGACAGGACATGGAGTTGGCAGGACCCCCGGCAGAAGAGTAGTCGGCGGGACCTCCAACGGTACAGGACATGGGGTTGGCGTCGACCGTAGAGCCAACAGGACACGGGGGCCTGTCGTCGGCCGGTACGCCAAAGGAGACGAGGTGCTGGAGTCGGCCGGACCACCGACAGGACACGAGGGGCTGGAGTGGGCCGAACCACTGACAAAACACGGGGGGCTGGAGTGGGCCGAACCACTAACAAAACACGGGGGGCTAGCGTCGGCCGAGGAGCCAGTACTGGAGCCGGAACGTGAGCCAGAAACATGGTTGCTGGGTCTCGAGGTTTAAAGCAGGCGTGCAGTTTATCGGGAGGAGTCACAACGTCCCTTAAAAACTCAGTGAGCTCCTTAACCAGGGCTTATCTGCAACTTCCCGGCGTGCTCGTGAAAGAGCAGCCTCCTGAGCCTCTTTACCATGAGCCCTCATCCACTCTCCAAGAAAACATAAAAGTTTGCAGGATAATTTGCCAACCTCATCCTCAAAAAACACTGCTGGGTCCATCTTTGGTTAGATCCTTCTGTCAGGGTTGAGTGAAGCAGGCAGGACCCAAATGCAGATAACAAAGAAAATACCTTTATTAAGGTTTAAGCGGTGACAAACAGAACACTAACCCGTGAACACAGTCACAGACAAACAAGGATCTAACAAAGACAGACAGAAAAACCAGAACTTAAATACACACAAGACTAATCACACAACAAGACACAGGTGAGGAGGGAGGAGAAAACACAGGGGCACAAGGTGAACACAATCAGGAAATCAGACACAGGAGGGCAAACACACAGAAAGCAACAGGCAAGACAGGAGATGAACATTTTAAAAAATAATACAGGAAACCAAAGACAGAAAAAGACAAGACAAAACACAACACAGACAGATCGTGACAAAATCGCTGTAAGGACCTGTAGTTTGACACACAAATGCATTTAGTGGTCGAAGAGGGTCTATGAAAGATGCTGACAAAATTGCATTATGGGAACAGTAAAATCACTTTCAAATTACTGATCACAAAAAACAAGAAAGTTCAGGTTTTACGTTGAGGAAACACTTTATTATCTTTCACAAAAGTTCTGACTGTATTTTCTTTCAGAAGGTGGGGTGTCCTACTTCTCCAATGTGGTAATGCACTTCTGCATTGATTTGGAGTCATTATATCACAGGAAAGGGAAGCCATTTTAAACATCTATGCAAATCAATGAAACACCAAATTCCTTTTATTAAAGAATAATAATTCAAATGGATACTACAATTATTCATTGATTCAGGGTCATTCGATTACATGAGATCAAAACATAATTCCTTCATACACATTTTTATACAAATAGTCATAGGAATATTCATAAAATAGAAAAAGCACTACAACCATAAAGAGTTGTGTCCTGCTTGTCCAATGCAGTTATGAAGTTATGCCTGCATTCAAAAATCATTAGGTCACATGAGATAAAAGTAACAAATATGCAGTTTTTGTTTTATAAACAAAACGTAGCTATTTAAAATAAATTAGCATTTTTGGCACCAAAATGACACTTTTCATCAACATTTTTCATAGAAAATTGAAGGTACACAAAAATCAAATAAAAGACTTGTGTCCCCTTTTATTCATCAAAACCCAGCACAGAAATAAGAATGAACAATATGCCAAGCATGCTAGCTGCTAGCTTGGGTTTCCACTACCATGGCAACCCACACATGAGCCCTTTTGCAGCTGCTCTTGCTTTTTGAGTTCAGACATGATATATCTTTTGTTGTTCACACCACTACTGTAGCTGGATAATCAATGTATTTCATCTCTGTATTCTGTAGGGTGATCATCATGGTTAATGAATGATATTGTTTATTTTTAGTTAATGTTTTATTAGAATAGCCTCTTGCTTAAATGTCTTTGGAATGGTCAATGGGCTCTCAGCCAATCAGGGTGAGTGAAAGTTAAAGATTACACACGGGGAGATAAATTCCAAGCTGTGTAAAGATAGACAGGTAAGAACCAGTTCATTTGTTGTTTAGACCCAGCATATCGTCTAGCAAATATACTATTTAGACACATTTGAAACAGAGTTTAAGATATTTTAGACAAATGTCAGCCCTGCTAAGGTCCTGTGCTCACAGAATCAGATCTTTCGATGGACTCAAACACAAGGCTTGGGAATTATGCAGCACAAGTTTGCTCGAGCGATGCCGGTAAGTTTATACTCTTCATGTTCACTGGTCAGATGGCAACAACATGTCACTCAGAAATGTATTGATGTTTGTATTCCTATAAGGGTTTATTGGAAATATAGAAGAAAGCACATGGCTTTTAAATCAAGTGACCACAGATCGTGCAGCTCCCTGGTGCTAAGGTTATAAAGTGTGTTATGTAGAGTCAGCAGTATTGGAATTTAAGTATTCCCTTAAAAAAAAAAAAAATCTGATGGGTGTACACTGAAGGCTTTTTCTGAATAAATGTTCTAGTATCGTTTCCTATGCTATTCCTGGCTGAACATCGTAATTATACATCATACTGGGAAGTTTGTACCATCCAAGTTGTTCTGTGCCATTAACACTGATATTGGGTCTACTCTTCTTGTCATGATTTATGTTTGTTTCTCTAATTCATTAGGCCTGCCAAAGGTTCACTTTTAAAACACTCTTATGTATTCTGTGATAGAGAAGGTACCAAACCTTTAACCCTATGGGACCCGTTTCAATCATTCATTAAACTGACCACTCTTCATGTGAAGTGATATCTTCAAATGTATTTGTAATGTATTTAGGATAATCCCATTGAGATTAACCATTTCGTTTTCAAGGGGGTCCTAACATATAGTACAGACTGCAAGCAAAAAACAAATAAAGCAAATTGACCAAGGTATTTCATATTATTTTCAATGCTTATCAATGAAATAACAGATTATTAATTCATTAATAATCCTAACAAAAAAATAAGAATTTCATCAATTTGTCTCCAAACAAATGAATGAAATTCTGAGACATACACAGCTGTTGAGGCATTCTTGTTACCCAAGAATGCCTCAAGACCCCCCAAAACGCTTTGGCTGTTGGTTGTGACCCTGATATTTTGAACTACTCAAATAGAGAAAAAGGAATCATCATCTTATTTCAAATCTGCAGTAAATGCTGATGTTCCAATCACATTGTAACTACTGTATTAAACCCATGCTCTTTTTGCTAAATCTTTGAATGTGAGGTCCCTCCATGTGGACAGCCGTCCTCACACACCCGCACTGAGCAGCAGCTATGTGCACGGCACCTCCACCATCCCTCTGCTCCCCCTGACCGTGGGCCAGAGTCTGGACTCCACCGTTCAGCGCTGGCCCGACCGTGAAGCTGTGGTCTTCCTGCAGGACGGCATCCGGAAAACCTTTGCACAGTTTCAGCAAGATGTAGGTCTTCAGCTTCTGTTATCAAGGCTTTCATGCATTTATTAACCCTCAAACCCTATTCATGATATGTTAAGAGTCTCCTTTTTCAATAAAGAACACTTCGAGAACAACTTGTCAAATCATTACAAATGTTAACTTGTTATGTTAGTAGGATGCTTGTTAGACCTTTTGAATCCCAATGAAATGGTGGTTTGTCATTAACTCTACATGAAGCAACCCCCATTAAATGTAGTTTAATAATATGAATTGGTCTCCTCTTTGGGAGAACTCATCACCAAGCTTCTCTGAATCACAGGAATACTTGATTGCATCAGACAAATCTATCAAGCAGTATCTCAGTAAGTCACAGTATTGAATGATTATCTGATTTATCTGTAACATTCTTTGGTGCAGGTTGACAAGGCGGCTGCAGGTCTGCTCGCTTTGGGCCTGGAACGAGGCGACAGACTGGGAATTTGGGGACCCAACACGTACGAGTGGATCCTCTTCCAGTTTGCCTCAGCCAAAACTGGAATTATAATGGTCAGTTTCAGATTTACAATTGCATTTACAATGTAGCCTTGTGGTTAGAAAGACAGTTGTTATCAAACACCCTGCTGCCAAGTATGAGTGAGCAGGACATTGACCCTGGAAAGTTATTCTGTACCATCTGAATATCTACTAGGTCACTGCAACTTTTTAATTCATTTCTGTATGCAGTCATGTGTTTCAAATCAGGTGTATAATATGGTATGTACTATAAAGCCAATTTGAAATCTGTGTAGTGAGGGACTGTGCATACACTTGACTTTTAACCTTTTTTTTTTATCAATGCAGGTTTCATTGAACCCGGCCTATCAGGTGAAGGAAGTGGAGTTTACTCTAACGAAGGTACAGTGAGTTGTGTTACAGAGTATTACTATTAGCTGTTATAATGTGCATATAGTAAAAGTACCTGTACACAGTTGGCAGGTACTTTTACTTGAGACTTTCTATGTTATGCTACTTTAAACTTCCACTCCAATCCAAAAGTACATTAGGTAGATACAGTATGTTATTATGAATATTATTGATGAAGATAAGACTTTATTGATCTTTATAGTGAAATTCACAAGCTACTTGGAAGTATATATAGCAAGAAAAGGAAGCCCCACCTTAACCTTCTGCAACACTTGTAAAAATCAAACACCAGATATGTGTCATTTGCAGGTCCAGTGTAAAGCTGTGCTCTGCCCTACCAGCTTTAAAAGCCAACATTTCTGTGAGATGCTGAGGGAGCTCTGTCCAGAGATTGACTCGTCGTCAGCAGGAATGATCAAAAGCTCCAGGTTTGACAGAGTCAATGTCAGATATCAGATTTAATAAATGTTGTCTTCTTCTGTTACCATTATGGGAGTAACAGACATTAAATGCTTAAAAATGTTCCATTGATTTAAATAAACATCCTGTCTTGGTTGTGCCAGGGTGCCAGAGCTGCGTATGGTGATTGTGACGGACAGCAGACAGCCGGGGATGCTCCACGTAGACGATGTGATGCAAGCAGGGGAGAGTCAGCACCACCAACAGCTGATGGAGCTGCAGAGAAAGCTGTCCTTCGATGATCCCATCAACATCCAGTTCACATCGGTAACCCTCAGTCACACTGTCACTCATGTATTTTATATATCTTGGACTGACACTATAAAGATCAGATCATGCTTCTTTGTTTCAGGGGACTACAGGGAGTCCAAAGGGAGCCAGTCTTTCACACCACAATATTGTAAACAATGCCTACTTTCTGGGACTCAGAATAGGTTTTAGAGAAAAAGTAAGTATATTGGTCTCTTCATCATTAAAAACACACAGACAGTCAAATGTAAGTAATTGTATTTTCATTTCCCCATCAGTCTCAGGTGCGAGTTTGTGTGCCCGTACCTATGTACCACTGCTTTGGCTCTGTGTTGGGAGGGATGGCTATGGCACTGCATGGCATCACACTGGTCTTCCCTTCCACTGCCTACAACAGCCGAGCCAACCTGGAGGCCATTCAGAGTGAAAGGTATGGCACCCTGCTCATCACGCAAATTAACTTTAACTATACAATATCTTACACTTAAGTTAATTTTTGTTTTTTTCACTCGAGGTGCAAATATGTGTACGGCACTCCCACAATGTTCACCGACATGCTAAGCCAACAGGATTTACACAAGTACGATTTGTCCTCACTTGAAGCTGGTAATAGATATAAAACACTAAAACAGCTGTTGTATTGAACGTGGTGTAATTTTGAGCAAGCATTGAAGGCATCCTTTTCGTATGTGCTGCTGTGTTTAAGGCGTCATTGCTGGTTCTCCGTGCCCTCCTGAGATTGTGAGAAGACTGATAACAGAAATGAACATGAAAGACATAACGGTAACATATTCTGAATAATAATTTTGCTATAAAACGTATTTATTATAACTATAAGCATATGCTTCTTCATCATAGGTTCATCATTTTCTAACAGATAGGCTATGGAACCACTGAGAACAGCCCCATCACATTCCTTGGATTCCCACAAGACAATGAGGACCTGAAGATGAATACTGTTGGATGTATCATGAACCACACTGAGGTATGCCTCATTATTTGCCAGAAAAACCTTATTTATTCGTGCCATAACCCCTCTGTGACTTATGCCTGTGTGTCTTTACTATAGGCCAAAGTGATCGACCCTTGTACCGGGGAGATTGTCCCTCTGGGGGCCTCGGGGGAGCTGATGGTCAGAGGCAGCTGTGTGATGCAGGGATACTGGGACGACCCTCAGAGAACCAGTGAAGCTATCTCCCAGGACCGCTGGTACAGGACTGGGTAAGAGACTAGTATGTGCAATGTATACAGAAGATACAAAGGCATGTTACTTTAACAGGGTTTGATGTCAGATCATTTATGATTCTTTCCTTCTACACAGTGACACAGCCAGTCTAAACAGTTTGGGATACCTTCGCATTGAAGGACGTATGAAGGATTTGATCATCCGAGGAGGGGAGAACATCTATCCTGCTGAGATAGAGCAATTTCTCTATACACACTCGAAAGTAAAAGAGGTGCAGGTGAGACTCAAAACCACTAGAGGGCAGCAGAGGTCAGATACATTGTCTCAGCAGCTAAAAGCTAAGCATTGAAGCCATACTTGTTGTCTCTCTGAATGTTGGACATAATTAAACATAAATAACATAATAAATATATTACAGTGATCTGAGATGTTGTATTTCTCTGTCCAGGTGGTTGGAGTGAGAGATGAGAGGCTGGGTGAGCAGGTGTGTGCCTGCATCAAGCTGAAGGAGGGCCACACCTCCAGTGCAGAGGAGATTAGAGCGTTCTGCAAAGGCCAGGTGAGAGTGGGTGACGACAAAATGACTCAACATACTCAAAAAGAAATCAGCACAGCTTTACAGTTTGTGTTTTCTCCCACTAGATATCTCACTTCAAGATCCCGCACTATGTGATGTTTGTAGACAGCTACCCTCTGACAGCCTCTGGAAAGGTACAGTTCACCAACATCACTGAACTACCAAGATTTAAAATTGATAATGAGACTGAAACGCTTGCTATTTCATTTGTTTTCTAGATCAAAAAGAACATATTAAAGGAGGAAATGGAGAAGGAATTAGGCCTTTAATTGTGTGGCCCCTGGTGGACAGCTGAGGGAGTCAGACACTGAGCAGTGTTGAGTAAAGACTTTCTTTACCAACAGCTGGACTGGGACTATATCACTGATCAGCTGTTGGCTCGCCACTCCCTGAAATTCTTTTATTTGTACATCACACCTCATTACCTCTGCATGTTTAATGTTAATAATATACATCAGCTTCATGATATGTATGTCCCCAATGGGACAGGACATGGAGTTGGCAAGACCCCCGGCAGGAGAGTAGTCGGCGGGACCTCCAACGGCACAGGACATAGGGTTGGCAGGACCCCCGGCAGAAGAGTAGTCGGCGGGACCTCCAACGGCACAGGACATAGGGTTGGCAGGACCCCCGGCAGAAGAGTAGTCGGCGGGACCCCCAACGGGACAGGACATGGGGTTGGCGTCGACCGTAGAGCCAACAGGACACGGGGGGCTGGCGTCGGCCGGTACGCCAAAGGAGACGAGGTGCTGGAGTCGGCCGGACCACCGACAGGACACGAGGGGCTGGAGTGGGCCGAACCACTGACAAAACACGGGGGGCTGGAGTGGGCCGAACCACTAACAAAACACGGGGGGCTAGCGTCGGCCGAGGAGCCAGTACTGGAGCCGGAACGTGAGCCAGAAACATGGTTGCTGGGTCTCGAGGTTTAAAGCAGGCGTGCAGTTGATCGGGAGGAGTCACAAAGTCCCTTAAAAACTCAGGCAGTGAGCTCCTTAACCAGGGCTTATCTGCAACTTCCCGGCGTGCTCGTGAAAGAGCAGCCTCCTGAGCCTCTTTACCACGAGCCCTCATCCACTCTCCAAGAAAACATAAAAGTTTGCAGGATAATTTGCCAACCTCATCCTCAAAAAACACTGCTAGGTCCATCTTTGGTTAGATCCTTCTGTCAGGGTTGAGTGAAGCAGACAGGACCCAAATGCAGATAACAAAGAAAATACCTTTATTAAGGTTTAAGCGGTGACAAACAGAACACTAACCCGTGAACACAGTCACAGACAAACAAGGATCTAACAAAGACAGACAGAAAAACCAGAACTGAAATACACACAAGACTAATCACACAACAAGACACAGGTGAGGAGGGAGGAGAAAACACAGGGGCACAAGGTGAACACAATCAGGAAATCAGACACAGGAGGGCAAACACACAGAAAGCAACAGGCAAGACAGGAGATGAACATTTTAAAAAATAATACAGGAAACCAAAGACAGAAAAAGACAAGACAAAACACAACACAGACAGATCGTGACAAAATCGCTGTAAGGACCTGTAGTTTGACACACAAATGCATTTAGTGGTCGAAGAGGGTCTATGAAAGATGCTGACAAAATTGCATTATGGGAACAGTAAAATCACTTTCAAATTACTGATCACAAAAAACAAGAAAGTTGGACCATATGTTCAGGTTTTACGTTGAGGAAACACTTTATTATCTTTCACAAAAGTTCTGACAGTATTTTCTTTCAGAAGGTGGGGTGTCCTACTTCTCCAATGTGGTAATGCACTTCTGCATTGATTTGGAGTCATTATATCACAGGAAAGGGAAGCCATTTTAAACATCTATGCAAATCAATGAAACACCAATTTCCTTTTATTAAAGAATAATAATTCAAATGGATACTACAATTATTCATTGATTCAGGGTCATTCGATTACATGAGATCAAAACATAATTCCTTCATACACATTTTTATACAAATAGTCATAGGAATATTCATAAAATAGAAAAAGCACTACAACCAAAAAGAGTTGTGTCCTGCTTGTCCAATGCAGTTATGAAGTTATGCCTGCATTCAAAAATCATTAGGTCACATGAGATAAAAGTAACAAATATGCAGTTTTTGTTTTATAAACAAAACGTAGCTATTTAAAATAAATTAGCATTTTTGGCACCAAAATGACACTTTTCATCAACATTTTTCATAGAAAATTGAAGGTACACAAAAATCAAATAAAAGACTTGTGTCCCCTTTTATTCATCAAAACCCAGCACAGAAATAAGAATGAACAACATGCCAAGCATGTTAGCTGCTAGCTTGGGTTTCCACTACCATGGCAACCCACACATGAGCCCTTTTGCAGCTGCTCTTGCTTTTTGAGTTCAGACATGATATATCTTTTGTTGTTCACACCACTACTGTAGCTGGATAATCAATGTATTTCATCTCTGTATTCTGTAGGGTGATCATCATGGTTAATGAATGATATTGTTTATTTTTAGTTAATGTTTTATTAGAATAGCCTCTTGCTCAAATGTCTTTGGAATGGTCAATGGGCTCTCAGCCAATCAGGGTGAGTGAAAGTTAAAGATTACACATGGGGAGATAAATTCCAAGCTGTGTAAAGATAGACAGGTAAGAACCAGTTCATTTGTTGTTTAGACCCAGCATATCGTCTAGCAAATATACTATTTAGACACATTTGAAACAGAGTTTAAGATATTTTAGACAAATGTCAGCCCTGCTAAGGTCCTGTGCTCACAGAATCAGATCTTTCGATGGACTCAAACACAAGGCTTGGGAATTATGCAGCACAAGTTTGCTCGAGCGATGCCGGTAAGTTTATACTCTTCATGTTCACTGGTCAGATGGCAACAACATGTCACTCAGAAATGTATTGATGTTTGTATTCCTATAAGGGTTTATTGGAAATATAGAAGAAAGCACATGGCTTTTAAATCAAGTGACCACAGATCGTGCAGCTCCCTGGTGCTAAGGTTATAAAGTGTGTTATGTAGAGTCAGCAGTATTGGAATTTAAGTATTCCCTTAAAAAAAAAAAAAATCTGATGGGTGTACACTGAAGGCTTTTTCTGAATAAATGTTCTAGTATCGTTTCCTATGCTATTCCTGGCTGAACATCGTAATTACACATCATACTGGGAAGTTTGTACCATCCAAGTTGTTCTGTGCCATTAACACTGATATTGGGTCTACTCTTCTTGTCATGATTTATGTTTGCTTCTCTAATTCATTAGGCCTGACAAAGGTTCACTTTTAAAACACTCTTATGTATTCTGTGATAGAGAAGGTACCAAACCTTTAACCCTATGGGACCCGTTTCAATCATTCATTAAACTGACCACTCTTCATGTGAAGTGATATCTTCAAATGTATTTGTAATGTATTTAGGATAATCCCATTGAGATGAACCATTTCGTTTTCAAGGGGGTCCTAACATATAGTACAGACTGCAAGCAAAAAACAAATAAAGCAAATTGACCAAGGTATTTCATATTATTTTCAATGCTTATCAATGAAATAACAGATTATTAATTCATTAATAATCCTAACAAAAAAATAAGAATTTCATCAATTTGTCTCCAAACAAATGAATGAAATTCTGAGACATACACAGCTGTTGAGGCATTCTTGTTACCCAAGAATGCCTCAAGACCCCCCAAAACACTTTGGCTGGGGGTTGTGACCCTGATATTTTTGAACTACTCAAATAGAGAAAAAGGAATCATCATCTTATTTCAAATCTGCGGTAAATGCTGATGTTCCAATCACATTGTAACTACTGTATTAAACCCATGCTCTTTTTGCTAAATCTTTGAATGTGAGGTCCCTCCATGTGGACAGCCGTCCTCACACACCCGCACTGAGCAGCAGCTATGTGCACGGCACCTCCACCATCCCTCTGCTCCCCCTGACCGTGGGCCAGAGTCTGGACTCCACCGTTCAGCGCTGGCCCGACCGTGAAGCTGTGGTCTTCCTGCAGGACGGCATCCGGAAAACCTTTGCACAGTTTCAGCAAGATGTAGGTCTTCAGCTTCTGTTAGAGCTTTCATGCATTTATTATAATATGTTAAGAGTCTGCTTTTTCAATAAAGAACACTTCGAGAACAACTTGTCAAATCATTACAAATGTTAACTTGTTATGTTAGTAGGATACTTGTTAGACCTTTTGAATCCCAATGAAATGGTGGTTTGTCATTAACTCTACATGAAGCAACCCCCATTAAATGTAGTTTAATAATATGAATTGGTCTCCTCTTTGGGAGAACTCATCACCAAGCTTCTCTGAATCACAGGAATACTTGATTGCATCAGACAAATCTATCAAGCAGTCACAGTATTGAATGATTATCTGATTTATCTGTAACATTCTTTGGTGCAGGTTGACAAGGCGGCTGCAGGTCTGCTCGCTTTGGGCCTGGAACGAGGCGACAGACTGGGAATTTGGGGACCCAACACGTACGAGTGGATCCTCTTCCAGTTTGCCTCAGCCAAAACTGGAATTATAATGGTCAGTTTCAGATTTACAATTGCATTTACAATGTAGCCTTGTGGTTAGAAAGACAGTTGTTATCAAACACCCTGCTGCCAAGTATGAGTGAGCAGGACATTGACCCTGGAAAGTTATTCTGTACCATCTAAATATCTACTAGGTCACTGCAACTTTTTAATTCATTTCTGTATGCAGTCATGTGTTTCAAATCAGGTGTATAATATGGTATGTACTATAAAGCCAATTTGAAATCTGTGTAGTGAGGGACTGTGCATACACTTGACTTTTAACCTTTTTTTTATCAATGCAGGTTTCATTGAACCCGGCCTATCAGGTGAAGGAAGTGGAGTTTACTCTAATGAAGGTACAGTGAGTTGTGTTACAGAGTATTACTATCATTAGCTGTTATAATGTGCATATAGTAAAAGTACCTGTACACAGTTGGCAGGTACTTTTACTTGAGACTTTCTATTTTATGCTACTTTAAACTTCCAATCCAATCCAAAAGTACATTAGGTAGATACAGTATGTTATTATGAATATTATTGATGAAGATAAGACTTGATTGATCTTTATAGTGAAATTCACAAGCTACTTGGAAGTATATATATTAAGAAAAGGAAGCCCCACCTTAACCTTCTGCAACACTTAAAAAAATAAAAATCAAACACCAGATATGTGTCATTTGCAGGTCCAGTGTAAAGCTGTGCTCTGCCCTACCAGCTTTAAAAGCCAACATTTCTGTGAGATGCTGAGGGAGCTCTGTCCAGAGATTGACTCGTCGTCAGCAGGAATGATCAAAAGCTCCAGGTTTGACAGAGTCAATGTCAGATATCAGATTTAATAAATGTTGTCTTCTTCTGTTACCATTATGGGAGTAACAGACATTAAATGCTTAAACATTTTCCATTGATTTAAATAAATATCCTGTCTTGGTTGTGCCAGGGTGCCAGAGCTGCGTATGGTGATTGTGACGGACAGCAGACAGCCGGGGATGCTCCACGTAGACGATGTGATGCAAGCAGGGGAGAGTCAGCACCACCAACAGCTGATGGAGCTGCAGAGAAAGCTGTCCTTCGATGATCCCATCAACATCCAGTTCACATCGGTAACCCTCAGTCACACTGTCACTCATGTATTTTATATATCTTGGACTGACACTATAAAGATCAGATCATGCTTCTTTGTTTCAGGGGACTACAGGGAGTCCAAAGGGAGCCAGTCTTTCACACCACAATATTGTAAACAATGCCTACTTTCTGGGACTCAGAATAGGTTTTAGAGAAAAAGTAAGTATATTGGTCTCTTCATCATTAAAAACACACAGACAGTAAAATGTAAGTAATTGTATTTTCATTTCCCCATCAGTCTCAGGTGCGAGTTTGTGTGCCCGTACCTATGTACCACTGCTTTGGCTCTGTGTTGGGAGGGATGGCTATGGCACTGCATGGCATCACACTGGTCTTCCCTTCCACTGCCTACAACAGCCGAGCCAACCTGGAGGCCATTCAGAGTGAAAGGTATGGCACCCTGCTCATCACGCAAATTAACTTTAACTATACAATATCTTACACTTAAGTTAATTTGTGTTTTTTTCACTCGAGGTGCAAATATGTGTACGGCACTCCCACAATGTTCACCGACATGCTAAGCCAACAGGATTTACACAAGTACGATTTGTCATCACTTGAAGCTGGTAATAGATATAAAACACTAAAACATCTGTTGTATTGAACGTGGTGTAATTTTGAGCAAGCATTGAAGGCATCCTTTTCGTATGTGCTGCTGTGTTTAAGGCGTCATTGCTGGTTCTCCGTGCCCTCCTGAGATTGTGAGAAGACTGATAACAGAAATGAACATGAAAGACATAACGGTAACATATTCTGAATAATAATTTTGCTATAAAACGTATTTATTATAACCATAAGCATATGCTTCTTCATCATATAACATCATAGGTTCATCATTTTCTAACAGATAGGCTATGGAACCACTGAGAACAGCCCCATCACATTCCTTGGATTCCCACAAGACAATGAGGACCTGAAGATGAATACTGTTGGATGTATCATGAACCACACTGAGGTATGCCTCATTATTTGCCAGAAAAACCTTTTTTATTCGTGCCATAACCCCTCTGTGACGTATGCCTGTGTGTCTTTACTATAGGCCAAAGTGATCGACCCTTGTACCGGGGAGATTGTCCCTCTGGGGGCCTCGGGGGAGCTGATGGTCAGAGGCAGCTGTGTGATGCAGGGATACTGGGACGACCCTCAGAGAACCAGTGAAGCTATCTCCCAGGACCGCTGGTACAGGACTGGGTAAGAGACTAGTATGTGCAATGTATACAGAAGATACAAAGGCATGTTACTTTAACAGGGTTTGATGTCAGATCATTTATGATTTTTTCCTTCTACACAGTGACACAGCCAGTCTAAACAGTTTGGGATACCTTCGCATTGAAGGACGTATGAAGGATTTGATCATCCGAGGAGGGGAGAACATCTATCCTGCTGAGATAGAGCAATTTCTCTATACACACTCGAAAGTAAAAGAGGTGCAGGTGAGACTCAAAACCACTAGAGGGCAGCATTGATTGATTGATTGATTGATTGAAAAGTTTATTAACAGCTTGTATATTGGGTACAGTACAGTACAGCTCAAAACATACAATTGTTAAGGGGATGCAGACCAGAGAAAGACTTTCGTCTTGTTTACATCAGGGTCCCCCATTTCCAATTCATCATATCATTTAAGACATATAAGACATATTTGACAGAGGTCAGATACATTGTCTCAGCAGCTAAAAGCGAAGCATTGAAGCCATACTTGTTGTCTCTCTGAATGTTGGACATAATTAAACATAAATAACATAATAAATATATTACAGTGATCTGAGATGTTGTATTTCTCTGTCCAGGTGGTTGGAGTGAAAGATGAGAGGCTGGGTGAGCAGGTGTGTGCCTGCATCAAGCTGAAGGAGGGCCACACCTCCAGTGCAGAGGAGATTAGAGCGTTCTGCAAAGGCCAGGTGAGAGTGGGTGACGACAAAATGACTCAACATACTCAAAAGAAATCAGCACAGCTTTACAGTTTGTGTTTTCTCCCACTAGATATCTCACTTCAAGATCCCGCACTATGTGATGTTTGCAGACAGCTACCCTCTGACAGCCTCTGGAAAGGTACAGTTCACCAACATCACTGAACTACCAAGATTTAAAATTGATAATGAGACTGAAACGCTTGCTATTTCATTTGTTTTCTAGATCAAAAAGAACATATTAAAGGAGGAAATGGAGAAGGAATTAGGCCTTTAATTGTGTGGCCCCTGGTGGACAGCTGAGGGAGTCAGACACTGAGCAGTGTTGAGTAAAGACTTTCTTTACCAACAGCTGGACTGGGACTATATCACTGATCAGCTGCTGGCTCGCCACTCCCTGACATTCTTTTATTTGTACTTCACACCTCATTACCTCTGCATGTTTAATGTTAATATACATCAGCTTCATGATACAGTATGTAATGACAACCCACTGGTACAAGCCATACAATGTGACTGCAAGCTTTAATAAATGTCCAATAAGTGTATATTGTGCTGTATCCTCTTTAATTTCAGTACAGTAAATGACCCAAACACCACAAGGTTATTTTTCATCTCAATCTTTATTTACTTAAACAATTTTGACAATCTGATATCATAGAACAATGGCTTTAACCATTCATTAGCTGAACATGCCATACAGAATCTGAAATAAATAGGGCTTTTAATGCCAAATGTCAGTATGTACAAATTACCATCCATACAAGCTACAGTATATACACTGACTGAAGAACACACGTTAGTAACAGGCTCATCGAGTGCCCAAAATGACATATTATATTATTAAATAAAACAAATACTGAACTTTAAATTATTATTCAAGATTGAGACCCAAAGACTTATGAAAGGGATATCAGGAGAAATGTGTTTTGGCATGTAAAATGATTTGCCAAATCCAACCTGCTTAAAATCCAAGACAAAGTCAAAGAAACATTTAGGTCACAAGTTAACAGAGAATCATTACATATGCTGCATGACACAAAGGCCACAATAGACCATAAATCATACACCAGCCAAAATGAAATGAGTATCCTTTGTTTAAGTTTTATGGAGCCAAATTCACCTACTGGATAATTTCCCTTATATCAGAACGAGGTAAATGAGCCTGTCACAAGATTAAAAAAAAAAAAGAAATGTGTACATAAAACATAAAAAAGGCAAAACTGTTCCCTTGAAATTTCAACAGATGTCCACAGAGGAAAAAACACTCGACTGCAGCGAAACATTTGAGGAGCAGTTTGTTTAAGCTTTCTCCAAGCTTCAACATGGCGACTACTTCCAGGTTAATCACAGGAAGTAGCCGGTAACAAGAGGAACAACTGCACTATGGCTACATGGCTTTGAACGATCAACATTCACTTCAGTCGTGAATATGGGGTCCGACCACACCTCTCAGACACCACATTACAAATGCACACATGCAAGAAAATATTGCATTTTAAAGCATACTGTGAGATAAATTAGTTAATATGAACACATCCCTTTTTAAATATAATACATTCTAAATTGAAAGTAGCTTAACTGTGCAATTTTGAGTGAAAATACAGGAGGAAAAAAGGTCAAGAGGAAGCTTTGGTCTGGTGGAGACCGTTTGTCAAGGTTTCAGAAGAACAGTGGAACTAAGAATATAACGGTGCCACTTCAGAGTTGACGTCTAGAAAGCAACACATTTGTAACGACATTCATACAAGCACAGTAAAGCACAGCTTTAGGCACATGCAAGTGTGTGGTAGGAACGTGTGCACACACGACTGTGCACCTACTCACAGATGCATTCAGAGCTGCAAACTGGAGGCAAGTTCATTGTGAAGTCCAGCCTCTCTTCCACACGTCAAAAAATGCACAATCCCAAACAGGCAAACACACGCGGCATCGGTTTCCTTTCAAACTCTTTCTCTCGCATACACACACCTAGCACACAATGTAAAGGTCATTCAAGTGTCCTCTGGGTTCCCACAGTGACAGTAGAGGTTCAGGTGGTGTGGGGTCGCCTCACACACTCAGAGGCAGCAGAGCTGGTGGAGACACGGCTCTGGATGTGGTGATGGAGGTCAAGGAGCTGGGGTCCAACCCGTTTACAGTCCTGCAGAAGCCACATGGACAATATTAGCAAACGCAGACACGTATAAGTACAGGGCAGACAGAACGGTTTATAAAACCAGAAGGAACTCTCTGGAATAATTGAACCACTTGATAAAAGACTCACGTTTTCTCAAAGTAGGTCGTGTGAAGAGAGTGTGAGAACTTTGTGGCATTGCTGTTGATGAGTTTGCCGTTGTCTGTGGAATAATTTTTTCTAGCTGCTTGGTCTTTGGCAAAGTTCCTGCAGGCGGCGATTTTGGACTCCAGAGCCTAATCACAAAACAGGAGATACCGTCAGTCTTTAGTCCGATCATAAACACATTTCTGTTTCTGTTGCTGAGGACATCAGTGTTCTATCCAGGTATTTATCCTTCTTATGTGTTACAAAGCAATAAGACTCACCCCAACCTTCCTCAAAAGGTCGCCAACAATATTAAGAGCAGAGATTCGAGCAGAAGGAGTGAGGGACGAGTTGCCGTTGCAGCCGTTGGACAGTGCTGCAAAAGACACAATCCAATGTCAGGATACAGATCAGACAATTTCTCATTTCACATGAGTCATAAAGAGTGAGATTCATTTCCAACCCTGACCTTTTTGCGTGATGAAGGGGTGCTCTATGCTCTTTCCTACGGGTGTGGCTGGGAGGGATAAAGAGGCCTGAACTGCAGAGTCCATCTTGTCGATGTCAGAGGTGGGGGAGCTGGGTGCTGACATCCTGTCGGTGGTCCGCTCCCGTACCGCCAGCTCCTGTCTCAGGTCTGCAGAACACAGAGTCAAACTCATGAGATAATAATAATAATACACTTTATTTATATAGTACCTTTCATGCTTGACGCAGCCCAAAGTGCTTGACAGAGTATGACAGAGTATGACAATAACAAATGAGGAACACAATTAAAAACAGAAAGCGTAATATCCCTGAACCATAAAACAATACAACATAAACAGTGACGCAGCGTCCACACGGCAGCGTGCGTTGAAGCTTGCCGGCGGGCGTGTCTGAAACTCGACCAACAACCAATCACATGAATCTCCCGCCCTGGACACACAAGCACGCGGTTTGATTGGCTAGCGCTTGTACTGGTATATGATTTGATTGGCTGACGCTTCCGTCGAAGCTTGAAAAGTTGACATTTTCTCAACTTTTCAAGCGAGCAACGGAGGCAAAGTGAAGCGACGGAACCACAATGCAGTACGGCAAAGCGTGACGTCACCCCATTCAAAGTGAATGGGAAGCAGTGTTGACGCTTCAACGCACGCCGCCGTGTGGACGGGCCGTGATACTACTAACAAAAATTAAGCCAAATTAAAAAGATAGGTCTTTAATTTACTTAAAGAAAATTCCAATTGAGTTCTAAGATGAAATGGGAGTTTTCTTGTAATGCACTCTAGGTACTTCTAAAAGTAAAATATAGGAGGATCTTAGTGTCCTTGCAGGTTGATAAAATGAGAGACAGTCACTTACATATGTTGGGGCAAGGTTATGCAAAGCCTTGTAAAGCATTAAAAGCACTTTAAAATAAAATCTGAAGGACACCGGTAACCACTGCAGTGATTCAGGCACGGGCCAAATGTGGTCTTTTTTTGTGTTTGTTAAAATGGCCGCAGCATTCTGAACTAATGCGATTTCTTTATGGACTTTTTAGGGAGACCAGTAAAAAGAGAATTGCAATAGTCCAAGCGAGTAATAAAGGCATGTACAACCATTTCAGCTCCTCCACTAACCCTTACACACATGATGCTGTGCCTGCCAAAGGGTTGAATAGAGTTGTGTCTTTACCTCGTGCTTCGTCTTTCAGCCGCTGGACCGACTCGAGGAGAGTCTCCTTCTCGTCCAGCTCACTTTCCAGGAAGGCATTTCTCTCAATGGCCTGGTTTAGACGGCCCTCGAAGTCCTCGAGAGAAACAATCGTTGCCCTGCACACAGGTAGAGTTTGGAGGGTAACATTGTTAAAACATGTTTTGTCATTTAAGGTCCAATAGCTTGAAAACATCTAAATAAACCCCCCCCCCCCCCCTATTGAGCAAGAAGTGTCAGTCTGACCTCTTGGCTCTCTCCAGGTCGTCGTTGGCCTGCTCCAGTTCTCGGACGTATTTGTTGAGCTGATCTTTGATGCTGCGTGTCTGGCCCAGGTCGTCCTCCAGCATAGAAACCTGCTTATAACTCTGGGCATGCTGATGCTCCAGCTTCTCCTGTGTGAGGGGGAAAGAAAAGGACATGGGAGTGAATGTGTGGAGAAAAGACAAGGAAAAGACAAGGACTGAACTGTACTTTCATTAAATGTTTATGGGTCATGCAGCGTGTAAGTACCGTATTATATACTAAACAGTAATCATCAGTACTCCGACTGTTATGATGACAACCTGGTGAATCACAAGACAGTTAGTAAAGATGATCTCCCACACACTATGTTATGGTTATAGAGCCTCTTGTGGCTTATTTGCCCTGTGGCACTTTACAGTACAGTTAGCATGCTAGTGTTGTGGCCCCTGAGGCACAAAGCATGATTCACAGTATTTTCTGGTTCATTTACACCGTCTGTTTTCAGCATGAGCTGCTGTAATCACACTCACATGATGGGGTCATGGGAAACATCACAATACTTTTCTGCTCTGTGGTGGATACGGTGTTTATCCTGAATGCATACACAGCCATTGGTTTACCTATAAACATGCGAGCGTGACTACAGCACATTGAATACATCTGACCACTGTTAATGCCTGCATTGATTTAGAACCAGACTTGTCTTTGCAGTTCTCTATTTTCTTCCAATCCAATTAAAGAGTGCCGGAGGATTACCTCACGACTTGTTAACGCCTACATTAAAATAAGACATTGAACTCTGTCCTCGGGATCCAACAGAGATCAGATAACCTCCTAAGACCGCAAATTACTTTATTGGTCAATAGATCATAAAAACCCAAGCCAAATCCTAAAATATTAACCACATGGCAAGTCACCAGACCCAGTTACCTTGAGGTTGACCACCTCGTTCTTCAGTCTCTCATTTTCAATCTGGAGGTCTCGAAGGCGGTATTCGGCCTGACTCAGCTGCGCCTCCAGCTCGGCCTCCAGCTCCCGGCTCCCCTCCTGGAACTCCTGCAGCTCCTCCTGGGCATCGTAGCAACTGTGGTGCACACAGTGAGGACACACGTAAACAATCACTGTCAATTACCAGCTGCCCTGTTCACTGCCACCATTCAGCTCTGTATCGCTGACTGGCTGAATGACCACAGGCCTGAGCTCTAGAAACGGTCTGGCTTTTGTCCCGCAAGATGAGCCAGGCTCAGGCATGTTCTAGCAGCTTCATCTCCAATGGCCAGGAATAAACCTGCATAAAAAGCCCTGTCAGACATTTGTAGATTTTTAACCTTCAACCTTGCCGCTGCCAAACAGGAATCTCAGTGCTGTCGAGTTAAGCATTCTAAATATACAGCCCTAAAGAGACAGCTGACAGTAGGAGGTTCAGAGGTAGCATGAAAAATAGGCCTGCTGTCAAAGAGTCCTCAGCTGTGGGAGAGGTTAAAAGGTCAGAGGTGGGGAGAAAATGAGAGGGTGCAGGAACAGGACACCGTGGTCAGGGATGACCCCATGCAGAGCATCTTCAAAACACACACAATAACTCATAATGGAACATGTGTGGAAGTACACATTTCAAATAGAAAATAAAAGTAAAAATAAATGTTGTGGTGATTAATGTAATGCAAATGTATCCTAACCTTTTTCCAATGATGACACTGTGGTCAACACTGTTCTCAGATCAGCTGATTTGTGCTGGGATAATGGCCTCACAGTGGCTCTACTCTGGAATCCATGAATCAGTTGTTGTGGTGGGGTCGTTCCACACATACCAACGCCACAGCGGCTGCTTCATCAGCACGCTGCGTCCTGCAGCATAACTTTCATACGCCTTTCATGGTTTCCAACAACCCACAGCACTCTGGACGCGTGACGCAGAACAGCATTAAATAGCATTAAATGCTGGTCAAGCATTTAAAATTAAATCTTTCAGGGGATGAACAGAGGGAAAGACTCACCTTTTTTAAATTAATTTTTGTATTTATTTACTTTATAATGTATTATTGTTATTAGTATTAATCGTACTTACCTTAATTGAAGTGCTACATGTCAGTTTTGTAATTGTTTTTTGGGTTGTTTTTTTGCTTGTAAATGTAATCAATTAATAAAAATGAAAAAATAAAATATGTCAGTGTTCAGTTTAATTATAAACTGTATTATATCCAAGTGTCCTTGTCGAGGTAAAGCGGAAAAGTAAAACATCTCTTCTGGTAGATAACCTTTCAATAGGTTACAAATAAACGCTGCCTGCTGCCACAGTGAGCGGATTGCTGTTAACGTGATCCTGAGAAACTGCATGAACCAAAACATGTGTGAGACACGCCACTGTAAACATGGAGTTCTTTTTCCGTGGGCTGGAGTCTTTCCGCTATGTACCCACATGAGGAATTTCTTAGAAACCCAGCAGGACTTTAACCCTCACTGCGCCGGTTTACACTTCCTTTGAGAGTATGATGGGCCCCAAGTCCATAAATAGAAAAGACAGACAGACTGAGTTCAACAAAGATTTACAAACAACAACCCAAAGCACCACGGCTGCCTACTCCAAACACAGACTGAGCAGATGTTGTCATTTCCTCCTGAGCAAGCCACAGCTGACTTTAAAAAAAGCCTGTCTTTTCATTTGCCTTATAAGGCTCAACACGGCTTTTTGTGATGAAACTTTAAACTGTGACATATCAGGAAAACGACATATTCAGCATTTTAACATCTGCCTATTATGTAACAATGAGCGACTTATTTCTAAACGTATTCATCTCCTGCTGTTTCCGAGGGTTGTCTGAGTTTGCTTATTTCAGTTTGGGTTTGTTGCCATCTTCTATTTGATTCAAAGATTTGGAAAGACAGGTCACACATTAAAATATAAAACATTGTTACATAACCCATTTTGGAAGATTGAGCTTGGCTGGCAAACAGTCATATTCTCACAGTACAAAAAGCAGAGAAGATAACTTGATTTGATAACTTGTGAAATGAGAAGTAAATCACACTGCCTACCTTTTCTTATATTTGAGGGCTTGGGACTTCCAGTAATCAACTTCCTCATCCTTTGACGTAAATTTGGGAATCATCTCTTTGTCCATGTCAGGGCACCCTGAGGAACAAAAAGACAGATGTATTAGCCTCACAGCAACTCACAAGTACATATTATGGGAAGCAAGCAAGGCTAGTGGCCATGGGGTTAAAACAGGAACAACAACAGTGTACAAAACAAACCAGCGTGGCTCTAACCTGGTCCAATCATTTCACTATGTTCATCCTTTTGCATGTAGAAACATGCACAGTGCATTCCCGTCTAATCTCAGAGCTGAACCACGGGGCAGATCAAGATTTAAAACATTCCCTCATTCCTCACTGCAGAAGATAACAGAAGAGACAGCTCTTTTTTTTATTGGAAGTAGCAAACAAAGCCAGATCAGCCTGGCCATGTCACCGAGCCGCTCTGAGGTCATGTCCTCCTCAGTTACTCATGCATCACTGAGTATAGTGTCTTAAGGGAAAAGTCACCCAATTATTTAGAAGCTGGGTTTGGATAAAGTGCCAAACATGACAGTTTTTCTTTTTTACAACTGAATAGACTCAACGATATGTGTGCAGTGCATAGTAGAAGTGTGTCTTCTTTATGAAGTGTCATTAAATTACCCCTCATGTGAGGTCCAAATTACTTTAATGTTTAAAATGTCTCCTCTTCCGTCCCGTTAGCGGAAACAACACTTCACTAGAAGTCAGTTCCTCTTTTCTGGTGAGCTAATAAACTCTGCCTGTGATCTCTGTGGACCAACAAGGCAGGAAATGATTAAACACATCTGGAAAGAGCTGTTTTGTGTGGGGGGGAATACAGCTGCTACTCACATTGCTGTACCTCCAGGAATATTCATAATCCGGACAGATACTAACCTACAAGGAGTTCCTGCTGATAGGTCAGACAGCCAGTGAACGCAGCACAGGAAACCTCTCAGCTGGACTGAAGGTTAAGCTAACTACGCTCAACAGTTTGAGGAAGGTATTATTTTGACTGGACAAGCCTGTCTTGGGCTTAGGCGAGGAGGAGGAGGAGGAGGAAGGCGTGTTCGTTTTGACTCAGTGGGACGGAGGCTCCGGCAGAACCGCCCGACCGCCTGCTCTTCCCTTAAACATTTCTCTGGGGTGGCGTCATCAACAATTTACTTGCAAAAGGCCGCTTATGTGTCAGTCCTTTGAAAACACAAAGGAAACTGGAAACCAAAACACCCAGAGGATCAAGAGAGGGAAATGCCCTCAAGCTGCTACTGACATGTTAGATGTGTCATATGATAAGGGAATCTAGCAAACGCGTGTGTTGTGATGCTGATGGGTGTAAATGGGATCTGGTGTTTTCTACTGATCCCTGTGAGTCTTCAAAAAGGCATGAGCGACAGGCAACTGTTCCCATGGTGATTCAGATCAAAGGCCTTAACAGTAAAATTGGTTATTTATTTTTGTCCGCCCACTGACATGACAGGAGCTACGGAAGCAGTCTCACATATTTAGCACAGATGTGGACACCATGGTGCTGTACTGGTAACATGATACACCACTAAGATTGCAACAAAAAGGTTCAGTTACATAGTGTAACAGGTCAAGTGCTGAGAACAAATGACAGTTCCTGTTATCTCTCATTTCAGCATCCTTTGGAGCGGTGTCAGTTTGACCCCTGGGTCTGTTTTTCTGTTGTTACAACAGGCAGCAGGGCTCAGAGCCAGCAAAGATGGAGGTGAGAACCTCACTTACTGTGTGGAGCCATCTGGAAATTACAGACATGGGAAGGTAGCAAGGAGAGAGTTTCCTTTCCCACATTGTTGAAGATGACTCTGTGCTTACTAAGAGTTTAACTGCTGACTCAGATGGAGTATTTTTTTTATAACGGGGCCTAAGAGAGGGCTGAGTCAAATCCATCTGTAGTGTTATTGGTTTGCTCTAATGAGAATAATAATCAGACGTACAGCTTCACAGGGTGTGGTGGTAGTGTTCCCCTGACTATGTTTGGTCCTTTGTGTTATGCTTTAGCTTCGAGAGGACACTTCATTTAGCTGAGCAAAATCAAAAGGATAACAATCATACTATGTTATCAGAATCATCACCAAAAACTCCCAAATAACAATTGACATGCATCACAAATAACTGCCATTTACAGATAATACACACCTTTTCGAAATAACAATCATTACACTGCCATTTATTTGATTTATCAGTTTTATCTGAATAGCGGCAGGTTATCATTTAGCTGTAGGTATGTTAGCTAATAAACGCTGTCGTCAATGTGTGGATATTTATAAAACTGCGTTGTTTGACAGACGGTACACAAGCTTGGGATAATGCCAAACTGTACGCTAAATGCTGTTAAAAGAATGCGGATATTACCACATACAAAACGTTCAAATGAAGAAAGCGAAATATCAAGGCGAAAATGTCTCTGGACATTAAAGCCGGGCTCGAGCTGTCATCTCGGTTTTCAAACAGCTGAACGCGACACACAAACATGTCAGACGTTAAAACTAAATCATGTTTACGGTTAAATTCGTTACCTGCTCATGTCAAATCGGTGTCCAGCTATCTTCTGTTTCAGGGGGTCGCCTTCCAGCTGGTGTTATATCCAACACACACCTCTCCCCTGCTCTGGCCTCGGATATATTAGTGACTGAGCTGTGTTTAGGAAATTGCCAACGCGTCTCCCGGAAGCGACGTAAATCCTGACGGGAAAACGTGCTGACGTAATTCACGTTTACGTCGAAACTGGGCAGGGCTGCTCTAGAAATAGATGTACCAGAACCCGCCGCACCTTTTTTCTGACTGTAGATGTATTCCTACCTTTATACAGTCTATGATTCCGCCTACTTTTAACTACAGTGACCACAGGGTGGCATATGATTGCCAGAAACCACCAAACAGGGACTCCGAACTCAGAATTTCTTCATGTTACATTTTTGTATGACTTTCTGTTTACGATTTTTTTTTTACAACCATTCTGTGAGCTGAAAATAGGCTAGACTAGAATTTAGGCTATTGCAGAAGTGGGAGAAGTACTAAGATCTTAAGTAAAAGTAGAAGTACCAGAGTGTATATATAGGCCTACTCTGTTATAAGTACTGTAAAAGTCCTGCAATCAAAAGGTTACTCAAGTAAAAGTAGAAAAGTATTAGCCTCAAAATATAAAGTACCAAAAGTAAAAGTATACTTATTATGCAAATTGGTCAATTTCAGAATAATATATATTATATGTTTTGATTATAATTATTGATGCATTAGAGTGTTATCAAAGCTGGTAAAGATTCAGCTAGTTTTAATGACTTTGTATATTGCTGGGTAGCTTTCGAATTTTACTCCAGGTCTAACTAAAGTCTTATTTAAGTGTTATTTACATTTCACATTATTTATCCAAGTCTGTAAGCTAACTATAAGGGATACAAAATAAATGTAGTAGAGTAAAAGTACACGATTTACCAATTAATTGTAGTGGAGTAGAAGTACAAAGTAGCATCAAATGGAAATACTCAAGTAAAGTTAGAACCTCGAAAGTAAATGTACTTAGTTACTTCCCACCTCTGGACTATTGACACCATTTAAAAAAAAAAAATGTCTCAAACTTAACATTGGTCCTAAACCCCCAAAACAGCCTTAGCCTATAAAAACACAATTTTTATGAAAGAAAAATAAGTTGTTGCTGTTTTCTTGAACATCTTTTAATTTGCAGTGACTCACATTAACACAACTGAAAAGGATGTTCTATGTTTTGCTCATATTTAAGGAATGCACGTTAGCAAGCAGTGCAGTATGGAGAACATGAAACGCAAACCAGCTTGGCCACTTGAACCGTGGTGTCTCCCGGGGACCCAATCAGTGAAGGCCCTGCCTGCAGTCAGAGGTGGCTGGCCCTGTTTGACAAGGCGCAGCTCTTGCCTCCACCCTCAGCCAAAGATAAAGAAAGGCATGCGCTGAGGGAATTCAGTCTACATTTTCAAAGGATTCAACTTGTAGTCAACAATTGGCTGCAGTGGCTAATTGTCATTCAATGGAATTTCCTAAGGAAGATAGTCAAGAGGACGCACCAGAGTGTCCGGTGTGTTATGAGTGTCTCTCGGGCACAGAGAGGACTCTGAGCTGCGGACATGTGTTCTGTCACGACTGCCTGGTCAAAACGCTGGTCAGCATCAACAGCGATGGAAATATCAGAGACACTATTGTTTGCCCTATCTGCCGACATCTTACATTCATCAAGAAACAAAAGGAAGCGCTTGTGTCCCTTGCGATGGACAAGGATCAAGGTGGAGGGCAGACCCTGGAGGTGCCCCTGCCTCCACCCCCGAGACACATCCAGAGCGCACGGCGCAGCTCCAGTTTGCCGGTAGAACTTAATTGGATGTATCGCTGCTTCAGGGAAATGTCTGAACGAATCCACCGACAGAGGTTGATCAGCCCCAGCCATAAAGCATCTCAGATATTTATCATAAGCGCTCAAGGGCGACCCATGGCAGAAGACGATGCGCTTAGTGTTGTGATGACTGTGGTTCCACCGCAGCGCAGGCAGAGGCGAAGGCGCAGGATTTGCACCACTGCAAGATGCCTTATCGTTCTGCTCTCAGCTTTTACTATACTGGCATTAGTGGCTGCAACGCTACCCTGGATTTTGTTGGCATAGCACCGTGATGTGGGTGTATGGATTATGATGTGCCAATAGGGGATGATACATTGACAATTATAGCGAATATATTCTTATCCATGGCATTAAGTTTATGGTTGCTAAGCAATGAAGTGTGTGAATAAATGTGTTTGTCTTTCTGATGAAAATAAGGCATTTCCTTACAGAATCAAAAAGTTAAAAATGTTAAATTAAGTGAATATTTTTAGTTGAAAAGTGGGTTTAAGATATAATTAGGTATCGTGATTCCTCTCCTGGTTTTCAGGTCAGAAGTCAGAAGGTGTATGCCCCTTTGTGTGCATTACCAAGCAACAGTCCAGTAAAGTCAAGTCAAGGTTGAAGCTTTGACAGTCTTTTGTTTTGCATTCCTGTCTGTGACATGTTCGACATGTTTGATTAGAATAAAAAATGCAATACATCCTAACAATTTCAAAGCACACTCAAAGGTTACTAAATCCAAAACGATTGAACATCTTAGAATTATTTCAACAACCAAAAAAAGGGGCCTGCCAGAAAAAGTGCAATAAAAACCATGTAACCCAAATCCCATTGTTGTTAAAGCAGCTCAAGTCAATGTTGTGTTACCCTGTTGTTGAATACACTGTTTCCAAGCAGCAAAAGCTAACATCTATCCTTCAGGATTATTTTTTATGTCTGTCCTGAAAAGTAAAAAGGGGTTACGTTCTATACTGTAGCAGCCAGAAACGAGTTTGGTTTATTGAGGGAGCGTGACATAAATGACCCTGTTTAAACATTTGGGGTATCATGTTAAAATACTTTCTCTCCTCTTAAAATTACAAAGAAACATGTCAGATATTTGAAAAAATCCACATTTCATTTTTAGACTTTAATTGTACACATGCTAAATGAAAATGTTTGATAAGAAGATTGAAGGGAGTTAGATACACAGTTACATATACAGGCTCACATTGTAGTGTGTATAAGGACGCTGTAAACAGAGACACCTTTAAGAAATAATTGATGCACCCTGTGCAGTCTGAAGGAGATATACTGTAGCAGGTATAATGAGCTCTGCCTGGCTGTTTGCTGTAAGAAGATACGCCGCCTATACTGTGGCATTAGATTACTTGTCTGTCTAAAGAACCAAGATTAAGATGGAGAAGAAAGATATGAGCATGGCTTAAAGGGGGAAAAAAGTAACAACATAAGTTATATAACAAGTAGAAATTACACAATCACTGGTTTCTTTGAAAAAAGACTTGCTCTTGAAAATGAGGTCAAACAAAGAGAAAGGCAGAGTGACACCATGATAAATGTGTACACTCCTAGTTTCCTCCTGTGACAATCCCTCAGCCATCCTGCTGGGCTGGTCCTACAGGTTACACACCTGAGGGGCGTTTGTTCTGCAGCCAAACCCGTTGCTAAGAAAGTGAATAATCATTATTTAATTTGATGAATCAGATTTTAAGATGGTATTCTTGTTGGTGGCTTGCACGGCAGTGGTTAGAGCCGGATTAACTGAGTTATAAATGCTAAGCAGATACAATATTTAAGGCAAAGATATAATGAGTGAAAACATTATAACTCTAGTGATTTATTCAGGTTAAAATGATGACAGTACCGATTGAGAGAAAATTGCTTAAAAAAGCAGCAATTAGGTTTCTGCATTATGTTCATAATGTTGAATAAATTCGAAATTAACCTCCAGGCAGAGTGAAAGTCCTAACTAGTTGACATATGTATCATCATTAAAATGTACTTGAAGTAGTAATAAAAGTAATACAACTTGATTGTGTACTTTAGCACTATATGAGTAAATGTATTAATTTACAAATGACACCAAATGTAGTGGATTAAAAGTACAACATTTTTTCCTTTAAATATAGCAAAGTTTAGGTTGCTTAGAAATACTGAAAATACTCCAGTAAAGTTAGTAGTGTGCATCCCAGAATTGACCATCAACTGTACAATTTTCCAAAACTTTATTTTCCCAGGAAAACAAAACACTGCAAAAAAGCCACATGAACCAGGTGAGATATTACAAATGTAGAGTTTAATATATATATTTATTTCTGACATTCTGATAAGGATTGCAGGTAGGCTTCACAGTACACACTGTGTTCCACTTGATATGCTAAGCAGAGGAGGGAGGGGTGGGCATGGTGGGCTTGACAAGCGGCAGGTTTTGTTTTTGTACACTAGTAAGCAGAAGGAGGCAGTACATCCACAGGCAACAACCACTCCTCTACCGTATTGCTCAGAACCCCACATAGGACCATTCATTATGATCCACATTCTCTAGAGTCAAACTCTACATTTCACCCCTCTTACAATCCCTAAAAAGACAGTGATTGACACAAAACGTGGATTATCAAAAGACTATCTATAAGCGCATGCATGACACTTTTTCAGATTCCCCCATTTTTTTTCATTTCAGATTCCTCCCAGATGTAAACAAATTGAGCTTTACTTTAGACCAACATACTTGGTGGTAAGGTGAGCTATAAAATGTAGTTCTACAGTAGTTAAAATGCTTGATAAAACTACAGTGTACCATTTGGTGCAAAGTGTAACTCTATGAATATGCTATTGAAAATCGCTGTAAAGGTAGATGATCTGAAATTAGATATGTGATGATATTATGACTCGAGCTTTGGGGAGGGTACATGTGTTCTTTTTCCTTTTGAGCAGCATTATAATCACACTTACAATGAACAGGAATGCATGCTTTTAGGTGGCTGTAAGTTCCAGTTATGATGCACAAAAGCATTACAGTAATACTGCCCTGCACTCATAATAATACATGCCAACAAGGAACCTTCATCCAGATGTACCATGTCCATTTGCCTTTTTGCTATTACAAAATCAGGTAGCCTACCATTGGAAATCTTCGTGAGTCACATTCAGTCTGCACACACAGAGAGAGAAACCCTGCCTTCTCGTATAAATGTATGGGTCCAGCACAGAAAATAAAACTTCTATACACATTATTTATGCCTATAGTTCCAAAATAACAACCAGAGTGAGGGCACTTGCAATTGTTTTCATATAATCACCACAACTATCAATATAAGTATCAACATCACCAAAATCTTCATAAACATAGTTCATTGAGAACACACACAGAGCATACCATCACTTTTGGAGAAAGGTTCATCTAGAATGAATAACTGAAAAAAGAAAATACTTGCTTTATAATAAAACAAATGGCTTTTTCTTCTCTAGGGTTGGGAAGGGTAACACTTTTTGGACTGAGGTGGCTCAAAACACTGTAATTGCACTTTAATTGACAAAATGATAGTCCTGAAATATTATATAGGTGATTAAAAAAGTTACACTGCAGCATCGGTTATCTGATAAACAAACATCAGAATAATTGTCTGCAGTTAGAATTACAACAAAGGACAAAATCATTTTAATACGGTGATCAAGCGAGTGTGCCAAATTAGCGATTATATTCAAATGAGCACAACATGTAAGCCGGTCCATCAATATATATGCTAAAGACTACATTATCCTCATTGTGAATTGATTAAACGAGTTGAATGTTCTCAAAGTAAACTCATTATTTACAGAGGAATCTATTAAATAACTGATTTCGAAGAAAAGATAGGGCAATGGTGTGCAACTCATTAGTGCTAGAGTATATTTGAAGTCAAAGCTCAGGAGACAGAATTAGAAAAAGCCACAATAGATTTCTAGCAGAAATAACATTCTGCATTTCTGCTGCAGCATCATTGTTACCTGGTGTTACAGAGAAACATTATGAATCCACAATAAACCTGTTCATTGTGTGCAGGGACAAAAATAACAGCACATTTTTAATCATTACATCTTCTAGACATGATAAATATCAGCACATATATTATTATTAATATCATCATTATATATATTTGAAATATGCATTTTTACATATACTTTTACTCTCAGATTTATATACATCAATTTATGTACAGTCTTTGTATTTACATTAGGGGTCAAAGGTCACTGAACCTGAAGCACTTGAAACAAGGTTAAAAGAGAGAATCATACGAACCTAAAGGCAGTGAAGTCATCCATCCATTTTCATCAAACTGTAACAGCACATGGGTGGTCTACATTTACTCTCCAAGGACAACAACAACCAACACACTCACACAAAATAACATACTGCCATTCGGAGGCCCTTGATCAGAAGCAGTTTGTTTATAGTGGCTTGTCATGCAAACACATTGTGGTGCTTTCGTCCAAAAAAAATGTAATTTACAGTAACATTCTTCTCATACTGTGCTGGTATAAAGTGAGTTAAAGTGAGCTTACCTGTATGAGGGTAAATGTCAGATAAAGAACAGTTGTAATATATGATAGCAGAGGGGAAGTAAAGATTGGGTGTAACGATAAGAAGTAAACTGCATTAAACGTTTCATCCTGCATGCAAAACCTGTCTCTACGGCTCAGCATTATCCTAATGTGCACAAAGCTTAAATACCCTGTGAGCAATAAAACACGACTACTCTCTGGAACACCCTGAGGAGGGGCTTTGCTCCTAACCATGTCAGGCTCTGAGTTTCCCTTACCAAAAGTTGCACAACTTGTGAATATCATATTGCAATATGATTGCATGTTTTAATAAGGCAAAAATAAATTGAAAAAACTCACAAAAATACAGACCACTTCATCAAAGAACATAGATGAATAAGCTAAATAAATTAAAAAAATCTCTTAACTTAATACTCATTCTACTATACTTATTCCAGTCTTTCCTCCTAAAGGCAACTGTTTCTCCGCTATGGCATTTTGGTGTTTTTCTTTGTAGTCACATTTAAGTTCTAGCAAGCAATTGTAAGAGATGAGTTTCTTTGCAGCCTGTAGCAGATGTGTTCGAGTTGTGGTTTCAGGTGGGCATTGGTGAGGCCAATTGGTGTTTCCATCAGGCCTTGATGGCGACAGTTAAGAGCATGTATAGCCACAGGGGTGCTGGTTAGCTGTGATGCCTTAGGGTCAAAGGTCATAGAGTGGTGCTCTGTGGCTCCTCCTCAGGCACAGCGTCCCCCTCTGGAGAGTCTGTCACTGCCAGGGACCTCCTGCAAGGGGCACCGCTGAACTCATCGATGAGGCTGTCCAGATTGACATTGATGGAGGGGATTTCATAATTGAAGATATCTAATGGTGAGCATGGTGGGAGAGGTGAGTATGATGAGCAGAATGGTGGGAATGGGGATGAAGAGCAAGAGGAGGAGGAGGAGAAGAGGGCATATGAAGATGATAATGAGGTGTAAAAAACGGAAGAGAGCAGAAATAATATTAATCTTTTTGAGACTGAACTCATGGTAAGTGGCATATGATGTCTGTCCTGATTGAAGTAATCAGTAGATTACATGTGCTTCACATTCTACACAGGGATGTTTCAGTTTGTTCTAGTCACACCTGAATGACTAGTGTGGTATTTCACAGCTTTTTGTGTCTTTTGAGACAACAACAACATATATTTTTGCTAGGTAAAATAAAATAACAGCTCAAAATGACTGCACAATGACACATTACTTTTCACGTTACAACAATGGTCAGGTAAACCAACACAGAGGCAACAAGATGTGTGTGGAACTCTGTGGAAGAATGGCACCAAGACACCAAGTGGGCTTGAAGTAACAATGGCAATCTCATAAGGACCTGATACTTGCTCTTAATATATCCTAATGTGCTGCTGCATTGACTAGAAGCAGCAGGTCCAAGCAGAGACTACTCCTGTGTAGGAATGAGATGGAGCGTGGCAGTGTAGTAAGAGGGAGCAGAGGTTATAAAAAGCGATGAATCTGCCAAAGGAGGATTGGGGGTTACCTGTGCCCCCCCGATACCAGTGGCAGACGCGTTAGAGGGGGATGTCTGCTGGCATTGGGCTGGGAATGGGGTACGAAAAGAAGGGGGGCTTTAAGATGGACCTTTGTAAGCGACGGCGTCTGCAATGTGAGCGCAGTGTGGTGCACTCTGGGAAGTCCTTAAGCCATGCATTTTCGGTTGAACTGCAACACCATGCAAAAAGTAAAAAATGTCAACCTGCTCAAAGACGAAATAGGGAACGTGTTCTGATTGAAAGCTACAGGTAGATGTTTGAGGCAGGCTGCAGGAGACCCCAGAGGCAGCCACAGCACGAGGCCAGGCAGTGAGATGGAGCGCATGGGGTGGGGACGGTCTGGCTTACCCTAAAAGTCCCCCTCACACTTAGCCCACACTGAATCCCTGGCCTCACACAGCTGCAAGGTACACAATAGTAGCAGGGGGGAACAAGAGAATGATAAATATAGCAAAGTGACAGAATGATTGGTATATCATGACAGAACACCTCATCATCAGAACATATACTGTAGATAGAAGGTGCGGTTTGTCTGGCTAGGTGTCTGCGCCTGTTACGCAGTAAGAGAGACTGGACTGTAAAGTAAGCCTCTGACCTACCTCTGCCATGTGAGGGTCTGGGTAACACAGATAAACAGAGAGCACATGATGAATCTAATGGCAACTTCCATACAAGCAGGATGAACTATGCTTCTCTGATGTTTCCACACATTACCCAGAAACATCATCACATAACACAAGCAATGAATACATAGGTCAAGGAGGTTTGCTCACTACAGTAGCAGCAAAAATGCTTATATTTACATAATTCTTCAGGCATCTGTGTCTAAAGGCAACTTTTTTTTCATTCAGACATTCGCTTGGGAACAGTCAATAAGGGTAAGGGGATCTTTTATATCTACATGACATATGACAAGTCCTACAGAGTTCTACACTCGTCCGCCATCTCCATTGGACAGAGCCACAGCGAGTCTGAGAGAGGGCCGCTGCAGCCCCATCTGAGGGGGCGGAGGGGGTGTTGTTGCCAATGGCTGGTGTTTACCTGTAGACATGCTCTCCCCGGGAGACAGTCCATCCAGGAGGCCCTGCTCCAGGGGCTGGGGGACTGTGGCCATGGCCGAGCCTGTGAACAACTGGGGGGCTGTGGGCGGCTGAGGAGGGGGCAGACTGGGTCTCTGCCTGGGCTTTGGGGCGGGCCGCGACTTGGTGAGCGTTCCGGTCAGGGAGGGAGGGGACGAAAGGGAGTGGGACGCCCCAAACAGGGTCTGCCCAGGGGAGCAAGGCGGCACTTGCCCCGGAGGGCAGGCCAGTCCATAAGGGGAGGGGGTGCTAGGAGGTGTGGGGGACAGGCTGACCGGTGACGGCTGACCTGTTGACTGGTCGGACATCCCGCAAGACTGGCTGTAAGGGACCTTGGGAGGCACAGGGGCCAACTTCTTGGAACCTGAAAGCACACAACACACACAGTCAAATTCCTGTTAGATATCAATTAGCAAAAATACACAATGACTTAGATTGCAAGCACTAAATATTTCTTTTTTTCTTTTTAACCTTATAATAATTATAATTGATTTATTTTGTTAGCGCTTTTACAGGTGCTCAAAGACGCTTTACAGATATAGTGAAAAGATAAACCTTATTCTGAAAAAGACATAGCTAATCAAAACGAATACTCCACTAATATTCCTGATTAAATGCAGACCTGCATACTATGATTTACATAAACCCCCCCGGTTAGTATATCCTAGCTTAAGCCTTTTAAGTAACTTTAATCTCCAAAATCCTCTTGATTCCAAGTCTTTCATAATGTTTCAAAGTAAGTGTGTTTCTCCTTCCAACCAGAATCTTTTTGGCATGCATCTCTATCCCAGCACTGCAAACTGCGCTGTATACATGTGCAAAGAATGATCCTAAAACCTGAATAATAAGGCCATATCCCACATGACATGATTAGGAAATGCTGCATTAGAAATATTGTGGAATAGTGGAATATGTGCATGTCAACACAGTCATTGTAAACTCGGACTGAGAGAGGTGCTGACCTTTGCGCAGGGAGTGTGGACTGTGCTCTGTGGAGTGGGGGGACTGGCTGCTGCTCTGAGGACTACAGCTGAGGGGGACTGTCGGACCGGCCACCTGGATGCCTTTGTGTCCAATTACAGGGGAGAGCTCTTTACTCTTGAATGAACTGAAAAAGACAGAGAGACATTAGTGTGTGAATAGTATTACAGTAACTTTCAGTATACCTCATGTGCACTACTTTAGAGCCACAGCAGCCATCATCACCATCATCACCATCACCATCATCATGAGTTTCACTTTGTTAAAGAACACTGTTACCAATATTACCATATACTGTAATCAATATTAATTAATACAATTAACCCAGAACATGTTGTAAAGCAAAGTGTTGGATTGGCATTTCAATCAGAAAACTGCAGCCTAACAAACCCGATCTTTATTTAACCACTATTATTATTATTATTATTATTATTATTATTATTATTATTACATCCAGATTGATATAATAATCGTGTATGTATAACAAAAGCACAATACATTCCAGTTTCAGCATGTTTTATAGAACATCAATAAATTATATTTATTTGTGTGCTGTATTGTAAGATACAGTATATTAAAAAAAAACGTTCAACTACCTTCCTCTCTGTATATAAAGGAGCTTATCATGATCTAAAAATACCAATGATGTTCAGAGACAGCTGGGATCTCACGACAGTGTAAGATTTCCACTGGATTCCTCACAAAAAGGGACACCGAGCAGAACAGAAGGTGTAAATATTTGTACCCAGCAACAGATACAAAGCAGAGGCATGAGTGTGTCACTGTGTGGAACCACCTTGATTAACATCAGTATTATTACTTACGTTGAGTATTGAGGATGCACCGTAAATATGGTAGGGATTCTGCATGTAACCATATATGAGCAACTAAATCTAAATTCTGTGCTATAAGCAAAGAGTAGGTAATGTATTGTATTATCTTCTCACTTTAAATAACGTGTTTCTGCGATTTCATGGCTGTAATAAGGATATCCTCAATAATATAGACATAACGTTGCAAAAACTCATATGAACTCACATCCACAAAGACAACCATTTTGGATTATATGACATCTAATTAACGGCAATTTCGGGCAGTCCCTTTGAGATGTCTTTCCCCGAAAAGAATCCATCTGAATGGGAAGCATTGAGCTACCAGATCTCAAGACAGAGCAATATCAAGCGAGCTTGTTCAAAGATTTGCAGTAATGATTCACACTGTCCTGTTTGTAACACCACAGACAGATGAGTCAGGAAACTGCCACAGTCACTCTATACAAACTCTGCACTTTGGGTCCAGCTGAAAGATTGTTGAAACTGCAGGAAGAAGCTTACCAGAACAGAACGGTACTACAAAACTAACCTTACAAATCTCCAACTTAATTCTGCTGGTTAGTAAAGAAAACAGCTGCAAACTGTAGAATAAATACATTCATATGCTTTTTGATAGCCATATGCAGCATTGTCCATGTATTTATCATCTACTCAATACCAGCCTGAAACCGAGCGCTAAATATGAGCCAGTAACATCCCTTGTTGCTAGGCAACCCCCATGAGAGGCATTCCTGGACAACCTGATGTTACAGAATCTGAGGTATGTAATTTGAAGGGGGAGGGGGGAAAAAAGCAAAAGAAAATATGATCTAGCGAGCTAGAGGAGAGGAGAGATACAGATGCCACTCTGTGATGCATCCATCGTGGGCATGGGTGTGTTGTATTTACCTAGTCAGCCTGGGGGGTCCTCTCTCTCGGGCACATGGACAGGCAGCCCACGGCGGGGGCGGGGGGGCGGACGAAGGGAGGCTAGGGGGGTTGCCAAGGGACTGGTCATGGCGGGTTAACACCAAGGTGGTTTTGATGTAGAGTGGTGAAGCATTAGTGTCCGGTGGGGGGGCATGCGACATGTCACTGGGCGGGCTGTGCTTGGGGAAATGCAGACAGCTGGGTTTGGGGTTCGAATTGATGTCAAGTGACGAGGAGGAGGAGGAAGAAGAGGAGGAAGGGGGCGGGGCCGGGGGAGTGAAGCCAGACCAGCGCAGTGGGGGCGGGGGGGAGGCAGGGGGCTGGGACTCTGGACCCGGTGCCACAGGGCGAGCGCAGGGTGGGGGTTTGGGATAGAAGAGGTGGGGGGCAGTGTGGCACGAGGAGATGGGGTAAGGGGGGGGGTGGGCGGTCCTCCCCTGGGGGTGGGTGGGCATGAGAGGTGTCCGGCCGATTTGGCGACACGTTGTCTGAGCTGCAGATATTAAGAGAATAGACAGCACAAAAGAAACAGCTCTAGTGATTGAACAGGGAGACGCATTGGAGCGAGATACCAGAAGCTGTTTTGATGGTTAGTGTGTTAGTGTGTCCGTAGCCAAAATAAAAAAATACAAAAACTGCATTTTAGGGTGGGCGGTGGGCACCAAGCTTAGCACACAGTCAGCTTAGTGCAAATACAACCACAAGCACAAAGAAACAGCAAAGGAAAAGAAAGTTTTATTGCCGAAGGAAAATAATAACGTGTATAGGACTCCCTCTGTGTTCACCTTGTGTCTGCACACTGCATGGAGCTGTGAGGATCTGTCTCTAAAGCCAAAGTGCTGGTCTGCAGCTTACAATATTATCCAGCTGAGCTGATGACTAAATATCTCTCTGCAGCATATGGAAACCCTATCTGCCCTTATCTGACAGTATAAGTCTTGTTTGCATGGCAGGTCCTGCAGTCAGCCCAGGGCAGTGTGAAACAGACACAAAACCCTTTCATCGGCTGAAAGAGCCACAGGATAGGAGGGAAAAGCCAGCCAAGCCAGAAGCCATATTATCTCATCTGCCACACAGGCAGAGCCAGCGATCATGAGGTGATTATTCACGTGTTTAACTATGATAATCATACCAGAAAATGGTGGAATCAGTGTCAACAGAAAAGGAAATAATTCACAACCAAAGCCGAGAAAGCCAAGCCACAACAATGGGATATTGGAAATATTAGCATGCTCGCAAAGGACTTGCAGATTGAAGCTTAGTGCCAGGTACAGAATCAAAACTTCCAAACAGTAGTTGGATTAAAACCCTTTAGAGTTAGAGTCAAAAGTGTCATTTTCCTTTTGAAAGGTTAACCCACAAGGACACAAACCTGACAAACCACAGGGTGAATATAAGAGATGTAGAGAGTGAGAAATTATAATAACAGAATGAGACCTTAAGGTGTTGACACGATGCACAAACAAAAAATACAAATTAAAGTGGCAATAGGCACGTATTTAATTTGAACTATTATTAATAAATCTTAACCTCACAATGTAATGGCTGTATATTACAACATGAGCATTTAGATTGCTTCCATATAAGCATGTGCTAATTCTGTACCTACCACCAGGTACAATTTGCAATGCATTTCTTGTTCTATCTATAATGATCTGAATAAGGCCATATATTTGTTTCTAGTAGGCTCTGAGGAAAACAGCGAGCAGCAGTATGGATGGAAAGTTGAACATGGTTCCATTGCCACTTTAATGGAAATATGATTAAAACAGCCAAGGATCTTGTTCACACAGAGCTGAGAAAGTTGATGATGGTGATGATAATGGGGATGACAATTAAATAAACAGGAGTGGATGTGTGAGGAAGAGGGGGACAAGGTCTCCACTGTGACTTACCAAATCCTTTCTCCCAGTGGGGGGGTCGCAGACGGGGAGCAGGCGAGCTCTCCGGGCTGCTCGGGTATGAGCGTGTCCACGGAGCCCTGCAGGCCTGGAGGGGTGGAGGAGGTCTTTCGCGACAGAGTGGCCGAACCCTTACGAGACACCCAGGAAGTATCCATAACCCGCACGCCCATACTAGATACAAACACATCAAGGGTCATATATAATGATGAAGAAAGGGCTGAGTTGGGGAAAGGTAAGGAAAGAAGTGGGGAAACAGGGCATGATACGGTACCTTTGTATCTTCCTAATGCTGCGTTAGTAGGGGGAAGAGAGGCAAAAGGAATATGAGGTCAGTGATGCAGACAGGGTTCACAACAGGGTTCACAAACACTCAGTACACTTTATGATGGGGAGATGAGAGCACCAATGGCAGGGAGGAGCAGAAGGGAGGGATGTTCCAGAGGTGAGAATATGTCAGCCCACATAACCTGCCTGCACTTATAATGAACCGGTTTGCACTTATACTGAACCGGTCTGCACTTATACTGAACCCAAATTAAAGGCGTGTTTTTGGCTAATGCTGGTCTAATAAACACCTGAAAACATAGACAAGGAACACTCTTTATCCCAAGCTGCTCTTTGCTCCAAATAGTACAAAAACACTTTATTTGTATATAGGTTTTGTCATTTTATTTTCTATCTAGCAATATGGATATAGTCTTTTGAGTGCTCCAATTCTACCAGTGATTTTCCACCAGCTGGATGAATGACTCAGGCCAGGTGACGTGCTAGCCAGACTGTGAAGGAGGAGCTGGGTGTGGGAGGATGGTAAGAAATATTTCCTGAGAAAAAAAAAGAGGTAACCAGCAGCCCTTCATCAGAGACTCGTTGTCATAGAGACAATGCCACTCAATTTGATGCAGCGCCATGTATTCAAATGAGACTCAGGCTTCTGTGCTCCTAATAGTATGGGTTGTATGTGCCAGAATTAGTGAGATATGCGGCCTAATCCACACCTCTGCGTGACCTTTGGAGGGTCCAGGGATTAAAATATAGGTTAAAGTTGTTAATGGCTTTATAATGGCTGCCTCGAATATAAGAACAAATTAAATTAGATGCCTGTGAAGAGGTGTGGGTGGAAAGAGAGAAAACAGAGTGAGAGTGAGATGTGGGCAGCAGAAGGATGCACTTGGCATCATACCCATCCTTCTTGTAAAACTCCAGCATCATGTTGTCCGTGGCAACGCTCAGTGGCCGTCGGCTCTGGTCGTGCTGCTGCTTGCGCTCCGATTGGTCCATGTCTGGTGAGGGCATGGAGCTGTAGTTGGAGTTGTGGTTGCTGTGGATCGGGCTGCCGTAGCACCCTGTCAAGTTGAATTCAATCTCTGAAGAAGGAGCAGACACACCATCAGCATTCATAACTGTTATGGACATTGTGGTGTTGGTGTGTGAATGTGTTTTGGAGTCTATCACTTTTATGTGGGAGTTACTACTACTAGTCTAGTCAATCTCTACTTAAATCCACTTAAAGTCTTAAAAAAGTTATACTTTTTTTGTTTTAATCTACTTAAAATAAAATGTATGTATCAAATACAGTATTATAATGATTGTTAATGTTTTGATTATTTCAGAGAGTAACATTATTGCATGGTTTTAATCAAAAGAGTAACACAAAAATATATGGAGAAGAATTGCTGGAGTTTTTACTGTATATGAGACTTGTGCAAACAGGAAGTGACTGCATGGTCTACTGCCTGAAGTCAGGGGTTGATGATGCTGAAGCTTTAAAGACATCATGATCAGATCAGTTTTAGCTTCATGTATGTTTTTGTTGTGACATTTGGGTATATGTTGTTTGATGTGGTGCTTTTCTTTGTGAACTGACAGACATGAAGGAGAAACATCTTATTCGTATAGGTCTGAGCCAAAGGAAGTGACAATATATTAATATTCTATTAAGTAGTTCATACTAGTACAGTTAATACGTTTTTCACGCATTTTTCAGAAAAAGTCTATTTTTACAATTGCTTGTAATATTAATTAGGTCGAACTGGGTTGTACAAATTGCAGGTCATACCCTAAAATATATATAATTGAATTTCTATTTATTTGTTAAAGCCATTATACCAAAGGAATGATTGAAGATCAATAGATATATGGCGCCCAGCCTTACTACAATTTTACATACATAGTATGAGATCCCCACCTCCAGGGAAGAACCAGTCAGCATGCTGAATAATGGGCTCAACGATGCTAACAATCTGTAGGGACAGGGTGGTCATCATCTCCGTCATGTTCCTGGAAAGAAAACAGATCATTAAACCGCAGTAAAATCTTATGCGATAAGTGAAGGTAAGGTAGATGTGTTACAACAAGAAATACATACGGTTCAGTGTGTGTCCAGAGCAAGTTAGGACCAAGAACAATGGCCTGGTTACCGGGAGTCATCTTATTGTCGTCTTGGAAGTCGGTTAGCCTGGCTAAGAATTTGATTAGATATCTGTGGGATTTGAATAAAAGCAAAATAATAAAATGAAACTTTACTGTATTTTTTAAAAGTATTACAGCCACATGGGAACATTATTATCGGACAGAAAATAAGGGAAAGTGACTGACCTGAAATTGTTCAAGTTGTCTGTCGGGAGTTTTTCACACACTGCCATTAATGCTTGAAGCCTCTTCTCCAAATCTGGGATGCTGGAGAAATACAAAAATCATGATGGTTACACTGTTGCTCTATTACTAAATAAATGTCACAATCTTTCATTTTAGCAGTAAAGACTCCCTTTATAATGGACTATTCTGTGTTTTATCTAGGCCAATGACATAATTGAAGAAAAGGCAATTTAAAAAGAGAACAGCAACTCACTTGGAGGCCTGAATCCATTCATCATAAAGTTCAGTGGTCATCAGTGGCTCAGGGAGCTCACGGAGGTATGATTTCAGAGCCCCTTTGGTGAGAAAAACAGGGAGAAGGTGAAGACCAGTTTGCTCTTTTAGAGGAAGGGAGGGTGTTGTTCCCTCTTCAGAGTACTGGTGAGGCGATGCCCCATATCTCCACTACCCTCCAGCAGGCCCTTGCAGCAAGTGTAACTGCCAAATTCAGATAGCTCAACACAGATTTCATGCCAAAGTGTGAAATGCACAGCAATATCAGAACAGAAAGGCTTCAGGAACATAGCACTAGGGTTAGAGCTGATGAAGTTTGCACAACGCTTGTAGACAAATAACAGTATTTTCTGGCAACCACGTCCAAAACCAATCAAAACTTTTGATATGACCTTTAACAAAATTGCAGATTCCACATCATAAAACAACTGGCAGATGTAAGTAACAACCATTGCCTTTAACATAGAAAGATAAAGAAAGTGTGTAGGGGTTGTTGTTATGGAAATAGGCTTTGAACAAGGCATTCGTGTGGGAGTGTTGTTCACCTGCGATGGCGTGTGGGTCGGAGGAGTACTCCTGCACATCCAGAACTCCACAGTCCAGGGAGGCTTTCAGCTTCTTCAGCTTGGAGGCTGATGGAGCGATTCTGAAGAGGCCCTGCAACCCACACGCAGGAAACACATAATCATGTGTAATTATCACATCTAACATGACCTGTGCATAAATGCTGTGCAAAATGCATAGCCATTATCGTTGAACACTTGACATTGGCTGATGATAAATAACACAGAAACAAACTGCTGGCTTTACATACTTTTGTCCATTCATATTTTAATGTAAACCATCTTTATAGCTTGCTGTCAGATTTTAATTGGTTAGCACAAACATATTAAAATCGTAAAGATGATTAGTGAGCTCAGTCTCCCACACATGTTTCCTGTTGCAAAGATGTTGCTACTCGGACTCTCAACTTCACAATTTTAATTTTAATTAAAAGGTCAAGAAGATCAGAGCCAATTAAAACTCTTAAAAATGAGTCATTCCAGGCCGACAACGTCAGGTTTAAACTATGTACTGAATAGTGGAAGTACATCTCTGTGTGTTGAGATAGTCTAAACTAAATAATATAAAGACAATAAACTTTGAAAGGTATTTTTAAAATGTATATTAACTCCCATACAGTACGGCATCTTTTTAATAGAAAGATTGATAAGTTTAAGCACCAAGTGACACATACACAAGAGGACAAATGCATATTAACTTACACCAAAAATACCTAAGCGATGTGTCTGTCAATTTGTATGTGTATGTATATGTGTGTGTGTGTGTGTGTGTGTGTGTGTGTGTGTGTGTGTGTGTGTGTGTGTGTGTGTTTGTATGTCCTCTACCTCCTCTTGCATGCCACACTCTAACAGCATTGTGACACAAGCTTCAATGGGGAAGGCAATCTCTCTCCCACTAATATTCAGGTGATCCTCCAGAGACTTGCCATACGACGGCTTCTCCACCCACGCTTCTGCAACACAAAACAGTCGCTTGAATTGCACATAGACCTCAACAGCAATTACATATATGTTTCTTGTTATTTAGCACCTTAAGAATAGCAGTCAGCATAAGTAGGGAGGTGAAGGTATAGCTTAATACGATTGTTATATGACATTTCAAGGCTGTTAACTCTGTCATTTCTCAGCCTAATATTACTTCAGTGCACAATTGGAGCATATTTCTTCACACACACGCATGGGCAAACACACACGCATATGCACGCATTCATACTCACACACACACGCACACACAGGAGAAGTAAACTGGACACACTCAAAGGAGAGCTTGACACGGTAGACTTACCTTGGTGAGCTTTTATCTGGGGCAGGATACTCTGAAGAATCTCTAATGACTTCCTGTGATACTCTGCCTGCGTTTCTATTAGCTGTGGAAGGAGAAGAGATTATAACAAACACAAAATGATGAATGAATGAATTGTGTATACTGTACAATGTTAATTGTAACCTGTGCTAGCATGGGATCAAATGTTTTATTTGCAAAAAGTAAGGATAATATATACTTACTGTCTGGAAGTAATTTGCATAGTCTATTTCTTTGGCCACAAAACTGTACATATCTGCTGACAACTGATCCTGAAACAGAAAATAGAGAGCAACCATCTCATACGGTAAGAAATAATCTAATATATCGTAAATGTAACTGTAATATCATCTTGATATAGTGGTCCATTTGTGTCGGATACATTCAGAATGGCTATAAATCAAATGGAAGAGCTGGAGGAGGGATATATATCAGAATGGCTCTGATTGGAGACTTACCCTACATATCTCCATCCGATTGGCTGCCTCCTCCATCTCCTCTCGGAGAGACTCTGCCTTGGCGCCGGGCTGCAGTGTGCTTGGGTGACTAGATGACTTGGATGATTGATGAAATCTATAGAATAGAGTAAAAAACAATGACCACTGCACTGGATATAATAGCTTCCTGAGCATTTATTTTTAAAATAAATTAACAAGAGGCTCTTAAATAGGACGTCATATACCTTGTTCTAGCTGAGTCCATGTCCAAAACAAGTTTGGCTAAGTGCTTCCTCTGTTTCTGGATGTTTGGAATGTCCACCTTTAAAAGAAAATAAGTGCTTGATTAAAGTCAGTTAATGTAATATAAGTGTAGCACTAAATGAGGACCATGTGCTGTTTGTCATTTTTGGAAAAAAGAGAAATAGCTTATAGAAATATTCTTAGGTTGATATGTCTTAATTGAAGCTCACCTCAGCGAGCACATACATAGGCTCCACCACATCTCTTTCTATCTGAAACTCAAACAGGATGAGCTCCTGGGCCAACTTCTCCTCCGTCTCCCCACACATCATCAGCATCTTCCTGTTTGACGACAGCCAGACACAAAGTCAAAGGCATCAAACACAATTAAAATGCAGACAAGGGTAATGAGGACAGAGAAGAATTCAATAGCCGAATCAATAATTAAAGATGACTCCATGTGTGTGTATGTGTGTGTGTGTGTCAATGGAAAGTGTGTGAGCTAAGTCCTGTTAAATACAGGGACTTACCCCAGGAGAGAGTCATCCCCCAACACAGCAGCTCCTTCTACCATACATTGTGCAAGGATGGTGAGCGGTAGTTTCTTCTAATAAAAAAAGATAATAATGCAAAAGCTTTGGTGAGAATGATAGACGGTTATGAATACTTTTAAGCTGCATCATCGCACATATGTTCACATCAGTTTGCATCAGTATTCAGTGTCTGAGAGGATGATGGCTGCAGTTACTCACAGAAGGAGACTTGACAGATCTCTTCTCGACATCGGCCCCCTGCTGACCCTGCAGGCAGGCCGTCAGCTTCTTGTGAGTGCTGTGTGTCACCTGCTTGACCAGATCCAGACGCTTCTCCACCTGGAAGAACACACACACATCAGAAACGTCTTGCTGTCACAACACACACCCATGTATAAACACTGTGCTCCGATAACACATCTGACATTTGTTATGCAGCGTCAGACATCTGCACCTGCTATTATATACATGGTAAAGTTTATCAGTGAAGAAGTTATGGATATTCACAAACTGCAATGATTTATATTCAATTGAAATGAGGATAACTGGATGTTGTGATGGGCCTTTTTCATTTTTCATTCATAACATTTTATTAATTAAAATAATCATCAAATATTGGATGATTGAGTGGAAGATCCAGACTGAGCCCATTACAAGGTTGTAAATAATCAAAGAAAAGGTGAAAAGAAAAAAGCTTTTCTGCTAAAAAACTAATTATACTTTCTTGTACAGATTTATGAAATACTGGATAGTAGCTCTGTCTTCCTTTAAAACGTTTTAAATCAAACAACCAGAGAATCAATCTTTAATTAACCAAAATACAGAGGTATGTACCCTGTGATAAAATCTTGCTTCCCTTTGGAGGGGCCCAAAGACAATACAATCTCCATCATAATCACATTATTTACACCTGTTAATTTAACACAGCATGAACACTGACGGCACTAACTGCTTAGAGTCCATCATTTCATCAAGCACCTGGGGTCACACACACACACACACACACACACACACACACCCACCCACCCACCCACCCACCCACCCACCCACACACACACACACACACACACACACACACACACACACACACACACACCACACACACACACACACACACACACACACACACACACACACACACACACACACACACACACACACACACACACACACACACACACACACACACACACACACACACACTCACTCACCTGTAGAAGGTCCTCGCTTAACACCTCTGTTTTCTCGGCCCTGTAAAGATGAACATGTAGAACAGTAAGGGTATTTATCTAGGGGAGACATTATTAGCATTATTTGGTGCTGGTATTTTAAAACATTCTCTCTATAAACATTGAAAATCAGGAGACTGAAATATCCATTTCCTATTATCATCATCATACAACTTGTTTTGCCACAAGGGAAAACTTACATTCTCAACTAGAGAACATGAAGATATGATATTACATAACAAAACTTTTGCAATAAGGTAATTCTAGGCACAAGCAGTGGTGTGTCTTTTCCAAAGATAGTTGTGAAATAAAGTCCCAGCTGTATTGCACTGGATGTTGACTCATTCCCTGAGTTTCTTTGCACATCATCAATGTGGCAGTGCTCCAAAGTTGGCGGGCTGCATCCATGCACTTGTCCCTTTAGCGCATGTGGGGGTGTGCATGTGAGTGTATGGGTTTGACTGTCTCTCTCAGTCATGATTTAAGATGATCCATAAAGGGAACACATTAGTTATCAGGCGAACTATTCATGTTGTAAATTCGCCGGAGTTTTCTAAGCGTAAACAAAACAAGCAGGACCGCAGCGAGCAAAGGCCGCTGATACAAATATGCCGTTCCCACTGAGGAGCATCACATCCCACTGTGAATCCAGCAGACTGGGGACTTAGCCAAAGACTGAAGGAAAGGGCAGAGAGGTACTGCTGCTAAAGCAGATAAAACTACTCATCCGGAGTATTGAATGAGCCATGAGCTTAGAAAAGAGCAAACCACTGGATATCATAAATATAAAGTGTCCAGTCAGTTAAACAGCTTATATTTTAAGACTTAAGTCCTTTTCCTGAGGCAGATTTTCCAACAGAGATTAATATCGATGTAATGGCAAATTGTCTTAAAGCAGCACTAATTACATCATTTTGGGTTGTTTTTTGGAATTCCATTAAACATTTTGACTTCCACAACACACAACAATGCACACATCTAAAGCAACAATCCAAGACTTATCAGGACCGCCTTATCAAAAAGGAGGAAAACATTTACTTCCTGCTCAAAAGGTCAGGTCCAGTAGGGTCCTGTAGACCCCAAGCAACCACCCAGTGGGGCGCATTTCTCTCTCTACGCTTTCCCTTCCCGTCTGTACAACCTCTTCCTGCTATTGTGCGCCAACCATGCCAATGCCAGTTGTGAATAGTAGTTTTTTTAATCATTTATGTTTAAAAATAAATCTGAATTCATCTCTCTGTTGCCCAGGAGAATGGAACAGACTTTGTTTTGTGCTCTATTATTCATCAGCAGGATCAAAACACATCAGCAGCACAATACTGAAATGCTCTTTTCATGTATGATGCCTCGTCACCAAGTCAATCCAACACATCGCATAGCAGCTCTGTGTTGCCCCCTGCATAGTGTTGATGGAATTTTTTTTTTACAAGAAATGACAGTTTGAGAATGGCAGAAAAGAAATGGACCACCGTTTGTCTGTTTAATATTGACATGATGTTGTGTATTTACATATTCCATACGATATGGCCTACAATACAACGCTGCTTTCCAGTAAAGAAGTCTGTTATTAGCTGCTCTCAGTGCCAAGATGTGAGTGTGGTGCCAGGGGAACTGGGTCAAACCATGTACCAATGGATCTAATCACAGTCCGCCTGCTGGAAAACTGCTCTGCTCACTAAGGGAGGAGGAAGAAATACAGGAAATGTGTGCAAGTTAAAGAGGGAAAGAGAGCATGATGGTAGAGCAAGGAGTCTGGCATGATTTGTAAGGATAAGTGTGATCGCAGATTGCTGATTACATGCGAGGGATAAAAATAACCCAAGCACTAAAGTTTGGCTCAGTTTTGCTGCGACACTCCAACAGCCGCTAGAAATCTGTAAAACGCAATGTTCCATAAAATACCTTGTAGGCAGGACTGTCAAATGTATACCATGCTGAGTGTGGAGCCTGCAGGTCTGCAATGCAGCTGTGAGTTTGTCACTGAAGTGTCCTTACATTGACTGGCCGAGATGTCCCATAGGAGACTCTGGCAGCAGAGGAGCTCTAATAGGGGCCCAACAGCACAGATGGGACAGGAGACAGTGACAGGGACGTGGAGAAGTGAGCGATGTGCAAGAAGTTTTAATAGTGGGGGCCGTCCTGCCATCTCCAGGGAAAGTGTGGGAATGTTTCCTTGAAGGTTTGACTCCACGCTGAACTCATGTAAAGTACATGTCTAAAGGGTGGGTAAAACATACAATTATTTGATTGCATGTTAAATTATTTATTATTCTTAGTTAAGAATAAGAGATTGAAATTGATGCGTTACAGTTATGAAATATAGATTGAGACTGCGACACAAACTGTTGAGCTCTCATTACGTTAGGATGCAGAATCTCAAGATGACTGCTAATACACCGGAGATTGTCATTCAACTTGTCAGCAATGTGGAGATTGTTCCTATTAATTTAGTTCAGTCTATAGGAGGCTAATTTATAAAGTTAATCAACCTCTTTGGTTTTAAATGTGCTTAAAGTGTTGCAGTTTTTCTCAGCTTGTCTTGGTTTACATCACTAGATTCAAAGTTAAACGCAGGCATCTGGTGTTCTGGCTAACCACAACTGACGTGGCCATTATGACCCAGAAGACTTCAAACAGATTTGATCTTCAAAGACAGGAGGCCGTGTTGTTCTTTGAGCTTGTTTGTTTTCAGACAGTGGTATTTCCTCTTAGGAAAGCACTACCCCACATCACCAGCCTGTGAAGGCACAGAGACAAAATGCAATTGCATAGGCTGGATTGAGTACAGGGGGTGATGGAGCTGCTATACACTCTGATGTAAAGCTAAGCCGCAGGAGATTTTGGAGGTGAGGAGTGAAATTCCTCCTCAAATAGTGTGCAGAATGAGTCCTGCGGGGAATGTAAACACGTGGGAGAGTTGGCAGCCATGTGGGCGGTGTGCACATGGAGAGAGAGGAAGACTTTGCCAGTGTTATGCCAACCATCTGCCACTTTGCAGGCATTCGTTTACCTGGAGCTGATGATGACTCAATACAAATATGCACACACACACACACACACACAACACACACACACACAACACACACACACACACACACACACACACACACACACACACACACACACACACACACACACACACACACACACACACACACACACACACACACACACACACACACACACACAACACTCCTATAATACAGATTAGTTATATCAGGTCAAAAAGCTGAAATGTATAATCAAATTAAAATAGACAAAAACTAGCTTTCTTTGAAACATCAGTGGAAAAAAATCGAACCAACGCAACAACAGACAACTGGATTAACATGAATTTGTACAGAAAATATTCACACATACAGATGTACGGCCAGACTTTGATAAAATCCCTCTCCTCCTCTGGTGAAATTCACAAAATGCTGATATGATAAGAAGAAGAAAGGTCTTGGTATCTTGACAACATCTGGGCTTTTGTGTTTACAGCTGGCTAAAGAAACAAAAATACTGTGTGCATATTTTCCGAGGAACCTAATACATTACAAGTAATTGTTGGAAGTGAAATACCAAATATTCTGTTGATCATTTATAGATCAGCTGCACATTATACAAATATTTCTTATTTAATAAACACGTATAGTAATATGTTAATGTTGGAACCCCTTGTGCTCAGTCCCCCACAGCAATGTGCATGGTTAATGAAAGCATGAATAATCCATGTTGACATAATCAAACTGTGAATTAAATAACATCCCTAGTCTTGAACATGTCGCCATGGCAGCTAGCCAACTGTTTGCTGTAACACCTTCCGTTCACAGTTCCACCTGATTCGTCAGAACAATAGGAAAGTGGTCATGCTCTGGTTTGCTCACACTGCTAGCCTGGCTAACAAAAGCGCTAACTCCTGGACCAGTTAGAGCTGATCTAGATGCTAGATCCGGTGCTGCGAGGGGGGGTAGTGGAGCAGAACGGTGGCCCTGGGCCTCAGCAGGGCACCACGCGGCCTGGAGCACTGGCATGAGATGCACAGGCAGCCACATACACACAGTGACACACACACACTGATACACAACTATTTTCATGCTATATGCCCTCTAAATATTCCTCCATTTACTTTTTTTTTCTCCCTCCAGACCTTTGCCGTGCAAACGTGTTTAGAGGCCCACTAGGTTTCCTCCCAAATGACAAGGCGGAGGGCTGATGGGACTCAAGGTTACTAAAACAGAAAACCCCACTTACTGTAGTTGTCCAGCAAACTAGGTCACAGATCTGTTAAGTATGCAAGAATAACTGAGAGGAGTGTACACACACATACATACGAGCATGCGCGCACACACAAGACACACACATGTCCAGAGAGAGAGAGAGAGCGAGAGAGAGCGAGAGAGAGCCTGCAGCATTCAGCAACGTTTCACTTGAAACACAAGCAGTGAGTTATCTCTAATAACTTTACTCATGGTGAATAATCTCCACAAGAAGCACTGACTACACTGTGTTTTACACTTGGCATCTGTCCCAACACAAACACGCTGCCCCTGAACAACAAGTCAGATCTCCAGAAGAGAGCATCATTTAAGTTGGAGGCAAAAAGATCAATGTTTTTACTTCATGATCACCCAGCCATAGATGGAAACATTGTCCCATGCCATAAGTCGTTGTCAGTTCTCAAAAAGAGGAAATATTCTTTTCCCCTTTTGAAAATGTAACATGTGGGTTGGCAAAGCCGAGTGAACGTGATAAAACAGCCAATACCAAATGAGCGTATCTAAGCAACCAAAGCGCAAGTACAAGATTTAACATTTACTGCACAGAAAAGAGAGATGGAGTACTGTCTTCTTTTATCAAAGAGCAAGACTTTAAATTAACAATAAGAAACTCTTATTAGTGGAATAGTGCTTCCTGTTTTCTGCCTATTGGCATTCCTGAATGGAAGGAAGTGAGCATTTCGATAGGGAGTCGCCCGTCTCCTTTGGAGAACTTAGTTATTTCTAACAACAATGCCACTCTCTTACTGCAGTGTATTAC